CTTTATGTAATTTCAGTAAATGTGATCTCTTCAGCAAAGCAGCCAGGTATTTTACACGGACTTACACTGCCAATCTTCTTAAAGGTGACCCAGAACTGGCAGAGCATCTCCACTTCCATAATCCATTAGTCAAAGCAGTTATAGCCCAGTCCAGAGTCAAGGAAAAGGGAACATAGATCCTACCTCCCAATGGGAGAAGTAGCAGGGTGTGCTGGTTTGCGCCTGTAATCCCAGCTATGCAGGAGGCTGAGGCCAGGAGTTTGAGACCAGCCTGGGCAACATAGTGAGACCCTGTCGTTACAAAAATAAAAAATAAATGAGCTGGGTATAGTGGTGTGTACCTGTAGCCCTAGCTATTCAGAAGGATAAGTCAGGAGAATCTCTTGAGCCCAGGGGTTTGAGGCTGCTGTGAACTATAATCACACCATTGCACTACAGCCTGGGCAACAGAGTGAGACCCCACCTCTGAAAAGTAAATAATAAAAACTAATCAGATAATTATTAAATGTGAGAACTGTCAAAGAATTGGTGGCCATGTTTAGTCCATCACAAATTTTGCCTTGTAAACAGTTATTTTTATTATATGGGTAAATCTTTTCCCCTAAGATCTGCTGCACTAAGGGTTCCCATTACTTTCTGGGAGGTTTGTCATAACTTTTTTCACTACATGAGAAATGACCCTGGGTGCAGCCCACTACTTTTTTCTCCCTCTATAACCCTGCAAGCACTAATGGACAATGTGGGGTTTCAAAGTGTAGTCACAGAACTAGTAGCATGGGCATAATGTGGCAACTTGTTACAAATGCAGATTCTCAGGCCTGACTTCCCTCCTACTGAATGTGAAACTCTGGGGATAGGGCCAAGTAGTCTATGTTTTCACAAGCCATCTTGGCAATTCTAAATGCATGCTAAAGTTTGAAATCAGTGTTTTAGAGATGTAAGTTACTTGATGAAAATATCTGAAACTAGTCTCACAAGAAAGTAAATTTTATGTCATTTTTTTTTTACATTTAGAAAAGAAACAGGCCAGGTGTAGTGGCTCACGCCTATAATCCCAGCACTTTGGGAGGCCGAGACAGGAAGATGGCATGACACCAGGAGGTCGAAGCTCAGTGAGCTGTGATCATGCTACTGTACTCTAGCCCAAGTAACTGAATGAGACCTTGTCTGGTTTAAAAAAAAAAAAAGTAAAAAAGAAACAATGCATAGTCTGTAAATACTATAATGGCTTACAGAACCTCCAGAAAGCACAGATAATGACAAAGAAAGCTGGTGTGGTGGCTTTTCTCTAACTGATGGCCTTCCTCAGTGGTCAATAACTTTTCCCACATACTTGGCATGCAGGAGACACCTCCCTTCTCCCACCCACTCAAGGGACATTTCCCAGAGATGTCATACCTTATGTCTAAAGAACCACCTGTGAAAAGAACTGGTACCTTCTCCATCTTAATAATGGGCCTATTAAGCAGCTCAAAAAGTATATATATATATATACATACATTATTCTTTTTTTTTTTTTGAGATGGAGTCTCACCCAGGCTAGAGTGCAGTGGTGCAATCTCAGCTCACCACAACCTCCATCTCCCGGGTTCAAGCAATTCTCCTGCCTCAGCCTCCCGAGTAGCTGGGACTACAGGCACGTGCCACCATGCCAGGCTAATTTTTGTATTTTTAGTAGAGATGGGGTTTCACTATGTTGGCCAGGCTGGTCTCGAACTCCTGACTCTCGTGATCCACCTGCCTCAGCCTCCCAAAGTGCTGGAATTACAGCCGTGAACCACCAGCGCCCAGCCTAAAAATACATTATTCTTTTAAAGGGACTTTCAATCTCCCTCACAGACAGGTGTATAAGAGAAAAACGGGAAATTTTGCTGATCCTGTCTATGACACCTTGTTTTCTGCTCCTTTAATTCCTGCTCTACAGCATTTCTTTCCTTGTACTTTCTTTGGGTTTATTTTATAGTTAATTTATATTCAGCCTTCCCTATTTTCGTTCTCAGTCTCTCGAGTAGCTGCTGGGACTACAGGCACAGGTGCACACCACTAATACCAGAAATAATGCGGAGCAGCTAATAAAAAAAATTAACCCAGCTAAGTTTTATATTTTTTGTAGAGGCGCGGTTTCGCCATGTTACCTAGGCTGGTCTCCAACTCCTGAGCTCAAGCAATCCACCCAGCACAGCCTCCCAAAGTTCTGGTATTACATGCATGAGCCATCACACCCATCCCCTATTTTATTATATAAACTGTTTTGTCAGTGTCCTAAAAGTTTTGATATATTAATACATTTATCACTCAGTTGTAAATATTTTCTGCTTTCCATTATTTTCTCTTAAGTAGTCAATGGATTAGAGGGGTTTTTGTTTTGTTTTCGTTTTTGTTTTTTTTTGAGAGGGAGTCTGGCTCTGTGGCCCAGGCTGGAGTGCAGTGAGGAGATCTCAGCTCACTGCAAGCTCTGCCTCCCGGGTTCACGCCATTCTCCCGCCTCGGCCTCCCGAGTACCTGGGACTACAGGCGCCCGCCACCATGCTCAGCTAATTTTTTTGTATTTTTAGTAGAGACGGGGTTTCACCGTGTTAGCCAGGATGGTCTCGATCTCCTGATCTCGTGATCCACACGCCTCAGCCTCCCAAAGTGCTGGGATTACAGGCGTGAGCCACCACACCCGGCCTAGACGGGTTTTTTTGTTGTTGTTTTGTTTTGTTTTGTTGAAAATTTAAGACTTTTTTTCCTAATCTGTTGTTACTATTGATCTTATATAATGATCAGAAAACATTATCTGCAAGATCAGGGATCAGCAAACTCTGTAAAGGGCCAAATAGTAAATATGTTACACTTTACGGGACACACTGTATCCATTGTAACGACTCAATTCTGACTTTATAACATTAAAGCAACCAAAGACAATATGTAAATAAATAAGGTTGGCTGTATTCCAACAAAGCTTCCCTTACAAAAACAGGTGGCTGGCCAGATTGGGCTGTGGGCCACAGCCTGCTAACCCTTGATCTACATGGCACCAATTCTTTGGTAATTATTAAGAGGTACTGTTACTTAGTACTTGATATTTTATAACGTTCCATGCATGTTTGAAAACCAATATATCATCTTGTCCCTAGCCTCCTCCACTTCTTTAAAGTTCAGGCCTGGCCCATGTCAACATTTGCTTTTATCTTGGCACAGTGATTAAGACACTGGGCTTTTAACAATCAGACAAATCTCAGCTACCAGCTTTGCCACTCGCCATTGGGTGGTTGGAGGCAAACTACTTAATGTCGCTAATTCTCAGGTTCCTCAACCATAAACTGAGAAAATAACAGTACCTACCTCATGGGGAGCACATAAGGAAGGATTCAATGAGACAATCCATATAAAGCGCCTAGCAGAGTCCCAGGCAGCCTTCAATCGTTAGTAGTAGTGTTAACATCATGAAGCAGGTGTAATTATACCCATTTTACAAGAAACTAAGGCTTAGAGAGGTTTCGGTAAGTCGCCCAAAGTTTCCTAACCAGTGGCAAAGCACGAACTCCCACCCAGAACTTTTCACAAATTCAACGTTTCCCGTACTCAAACTGATGCAGATACACTAACATTTAGGAGATTTACTGTATGCCATTCCGAGGCGAGGCTGCATTTTAAGACGCCCAGGGAAGAAACGGATTGCGAAATCCACAAGAATTCACTCTTTGTGGTGCAAGTTTTGTCTGAAGGGAAAGGGGCAAGAAGGGCATGGAACGTGCTAGAAGTAACAAACCACCCAACAGAATACTGGAACCAGGGGTCCGCAGCTTCTAAGCTGGACACATTCCTCTCTAGGTTCGATCCTCTAAGGAAGTGGCGTCACCCAGCGGCGCATCCCGGCCCGAAGACCCTGCTGCTGCGTGGCCCGCAGCCCATGGCCGTGCTGCCCTTCAAGGCTCTGCAGCTCCTCGCGCCTGATGAGCCTGGCACCTAAAAATACCACCCTAGTTAAACCTCCCAGAACCTGTCTTCGGCATTTCAAAAAAAAAAAAAAAAAAAACGGGCGCCGTCATCGTTTAGAGCCACATAAATCACAGCCCTGACCTGCTGCGGATTCAGCAGGCGACGAGCCACTGAAAGTGGCGAAGAAGTCCGCCCCTTTCGAAGACGAGCAACTTTCCATTCTTTTTTCCCTGCGCAAGGCGCAGATCGTAACGTGGAGACCCCCGAGCAACCCCAAGAGTGAGTGGGACGTTGGAAAAACAGCCAGGGAATCTCCATGTTTCCCAGCCCAGGCTAAGCCCAGGATTCTTCAGAGCCATACCCTGTGACAATCACAAGGGTTTTCTCCGCCTCGCGGGTGACGGAGAACTCGTGACCTGCCCCTCAGCTCCAAGCCGAGCGCCTAGCGGGCGCGGAGAAAGAGGGGGCGGAGCTGCAAGCCCAGATCACCAGGCAGCCGACGACGGGCAGCGCGTGCGCAGTCTCTCGCCACGGGACCTCCTTCCCGCCGCTGAGACTAGGAAGCAGGACGCCAAATCTGTCCCTGCGCAGCCGCCGCCGCCGGGCGCCGAGCCGGGTGGCCGCCCTGCCTGAGGCGCGCCTGCGCACGTCTCCACGCACGCTCCGGCGTACGGCGGCGGCCAGGGGTCGCGAGCCGGTTGAGGACCCGCGCGCGGAGGAGCCGGGGAGTCAGCGCTTCTTCCCTCCCTCCCCCTCTCCCCTCCCCGCTCCCTGCCCCCCTCCCCAAGAATGTTCCGCTACGAGGTGAGCTGTTGCGACCGGAAGTGACCCCTCCCTCCCTCCCGCGCCCCTCTCCCTCACTCCCCCTCCGCACGCCGGTCCCGTGTTCCTGCGGGGCAGGGGGCGGGCTGGGGGAGTCGCAGGACTTAGCTGGACGCGACTGGCCTGGGGTCGCGGGTCTAATTCTAGGGCTGGGAGCTGGCTTCAGGGGTCGAGACAGTCCCATTAGTTGCCGCTGGGGAAAGTTGGCCTCCGTTTTGGGGTGGGGAGGGCCCGTTAAGTGCTGTAACCAGACCACACCCCCGCCCCCACCCCTAGAGGAGCCATCGAGGGTACAGTATTGCATCTACCCGGGTGCTTTTCTTGAGTAGGAGTCACCCGGGAATTCCCTGAGCCGAGTTTCCCGCCCTGGACCCGGAACCACCCCCCACCCACCTCCACTCGAATTACACTGACACACACCCCATTCACACAGGCTACCTTCAGGTCAAGGGGGCCTGGGCTTGCCGTTGGACTAGGGCCCCAGCCCGTTTACTAAAGAGGGCTCCGAGTTGGGAGGGGGGCGTGTCCAGCAGAAGTTCCCTCTGAGCTAGTGTTGGGCGACGTGGGTTTGGTGAAGGTCCCGGGAATGTAGCAATAGCAACAAACAGTGCTGACCCCGTCACCAACTCACTGTATGACCTTGAGCGACTCCTAATCTCTGGACGTAAACTTTCTGGGTTTGTAGCATGAAAGAACTGATGTAAATGATCCTATTTTTAATTGAAAAAGCAGTGATTTGGTAAAGTAGATCTTTGTGATTTGGAAGGGAGTGCTGCTGGAAGTTGCCTTTGATACGAAGGCAGCTGCATGCCTATTTGCATAAATTTGGAAGGGCTCTGGCAGGAGAATAATGCCCTTTGACCTAATCTTTCCTTTGTAAACAGGGTAGCTAAGAGGTAGCCAGGCAAGGTGTATCACAAACGTATCTACTGATCGACTATGGAATTCTGATTCCGAATTTTTGAAAATTGAGGACAGATATACTTAATAGGAATGATCCAAGACCAAACCGAAAGGAAAACTTGGAGAATAAATCAGTTGAGTAAAATTGAAGTGAAGTTAACCTACCTAGGATGTGGTGACCTCTAGCCTTTGTTCGATAATCTGTAATCTTTGCCTGCTTTGATCATCACAACTCTCTGCCATAGTTGGTATAGTCCCTGCATTACGATATAAGAGACTGAGCCTTACAGCCTAGCACAGAGCCTTAGACACAATAGGTTGTATAAAGGTATTTGATGAGCTAATTAGAAATTTTCTCAGTTGCCCATGTTCACACTGACTGTAGAAGTGGAGCCAGAACTTGAACTTGTCATATCACAGCTTTTCCAGAGTTCATTTTATTGTGGTTGAAGACCTAACTTTAATCACTAGAGTTTAGGCCTATAGGGAAGATAAAAAAGATGGAAAATGAAGACAAAGCTTTGAAAGGGAATAATAGTTGAAAACATGACATGAATATAATGAGAAAGATGAGAATTTTGCTAGAAAAGATACATAAAGATACAAGAAAATAAAGGGTTCATTATTAGTTGTCCTCACTTTTCCAACCAGTGTTATAAGGGAAGTTGTGGACTTAATTTCTTGGTTGCATGAGGAACTGCTGTTAGTGGATTCTTGATAAAATAGAGAAATGGAATGCTGTGAGGTGGGGCGAGAATTAAATAAGGAATAGGAAATAGAAAGTGAAAGAAAGCTGATGAAATCTTCCAGTGTCAGAAATTGGGAAGTAGAAAATGCCATCTTTACAAAAAGTCATAATGAAGCAATTATGTTCATTGAGAAGGTAAGATGAACATTTTTAGAACCTTTTTAAAATGAGGGTGTGAATTTCATGAATAACTAATGTCGTTCCTCTTTTTTTAGTCTTTGGAGGATTGTCCTCTGGATGAAGATGAAGATGCATTTCAGGGACTGGGAGAAGAAGATGAAGAGATTGATCAATTCAATGATGATACATTTGGGTCAGGTGCAGTTGGTAAGTGACATCTTTCTCTTATAATATCATCTTGGCTTCTTGCTCTTTTCAAGTGCTGTCTTTTAGAAGTGCTTTATCTTATTAGGGGTAACCTCATTCACTAACTTGGCAAGATATTCTTCTATTCCTCATCTTAGTCAGAATGTTTCATTCTTCACTGGAAACAGCACCTATCCTGATCCTCTGAGTATCTTTTTGCCTCACCTCTAAAATCAGGTATTCTGTAAGCCTTGCCCCTTCCAGCTATATGATCTATGGCTACAGGTTGCCCCTATGAGGGATTCAAATGTTTAGAGAAGTAAACATTTAAGAGAGATTTAAAGTAATCCTAAATGAGAGGAATTTTTATTTGTATGACATATAACTTAAGGAAAACTAGTGTACTAGTAGAAAAGTATGTGGGTGTATGTGTTTTAAAATTTAGTCTATCACTAGTATATTATATAACTTTGCAACTTATAGTATCTTCAACAAAACGTAAAGCTTTTTATACCAAGAATTTTGGGGGTCAAGAAAGGTCTCGGCCGGGCGCGGTGGCTCACGCCTGTAATCCCAGCACTTTGGGAGGCCGAGGCGGGCGGATCACAAGGTCAGGAGATCGAGATCACGGTGAAACCCCGTCTCTACTAAAAATACAAAAAATTAGCCGGGCACGGTTGTGGGCGCCTGTAGTCCCAGCTACTCGGGAGGCTGAGGCAGGAGAATGGCGTGAACCCGGGAGGCGGAGCTTGCAGTGAGCCGAGATCGCGCCACTGCACTCCAGCCTGGGCTGGGTGACAGAGCGAGACTCGCCTCAAAAAAAAAAAAAAAAAAAAAAAAAAAGAAAGGTCTCATAAGTTAGAAAAGTATGCACAGATGAAATTTTGTGCATCCCTGGATATAGATACATATTTTTTATTTATTTATTTATTCTTTTTTGAGATGGAGTCTTGCTCTATCACCCAGACTGGAGTGCAGTGGCATGATCTCAGCTCACTGCAACCTCCGCCTCCCAGGTTCAAGCAATTCTCTTGCCTCAGGCTCCCGAGTACCTGAGATTATAGGCACCTGCCACCACACCCAGCTAATTTTTGTATTTTTAGTAGAGACAGAGTTTCACCATGTCGGCCAGGCAGGTCTCGAACCCCTGACCTCATGATCCACCTGCCTCGGCCTCCCAAAGTGCTGGGATTACAGGCCTGACCACCGCACCCAGCCTGTAGATACATATTTTAAGAGTTGGGAAAAGTTTAAAACCTAAAGAGCCAAACTAAGCTTACAGACCACAGGGTTATAAATACCGAGATGGAAAATTTAGAAAGCAAGCTTATAACGTTCAAGAACACATGTTACTTAGAACAGTTGTAGAACAAGTGGAGTAATAAGTTAAAATTTAAACTTTTAAACTATATACATATACATATACATATGCATATACATATACATATACATTTGATTTGAGACAGAGTCTTGCTCTGTCACCTAGACAAGTGCAGTAGCATGATGTTGGCTCGCTGCATCCTCTGCCTCCCCAGTTCAAGCAGTTCTCCTGCCTCAGCCTTCCAAGTAGCTGAGAATACAGGCGCCCGGGTAATTTTTGTATTTTTTAGTAGAGACAGGGTTTCTCCATTTTTGGCCAGGGTGGTCATGAACTCCTGACCTCAAGTGATCCCTCCTCAGCCTCCCAAAGTGCTGGAATTACAGGTGTGAGCCACCGCGCCTGGCCAAAACTATATATTTTTAAGCAAATGAATAGGTAAGAGTCAATGCAGATATGTTTGCTTAGACTTGGTGCTGGAAAGCAGCAATAAGAGTGTTTATGTTCAAATGTATAAATATGTATGATTCTTTGGAGTCACAACACTTCTGTCTGCAACAAATGCTCCAAGTTAAGTCATAAGGAAGAAGAGAAAATTTAGCAATAGTTGGTAATCCCAAGATGTTGAATATCAAAAACAAATAAGAGACCTTAAAGTATTATAATGGTCACTGGTTTTGCAGTGACCTAATACATTTATTAAAGCTTAGACTGAATTGAATAAACTGGCAAAAATGAAGGTGTTTTAATATTGTCAGTTATTTGTAAAATTCAGTAGAGAACTAAAACTTTGTTATGATTAGAAGCAGCAAGAAAAGTGTCGAAAGTGGAAGCTAGACTCATGATGGAAAGGAATCAAAGACCTTTTGGATTATAGGCATGGGTTGGCAGATGAGATTGTCCAGGAGGATAACTTGATCCAAGATGCTATTCTCTCTCTCCATGGAGATCACAGGCAAAGAAATGTAGAGTGGAATTACAAAAGCAGGAAACTGATGTGAATTGCAAATTATATTTGGAAGGTAGTTTAGTGATGATCAGTAGAACACAATAAGCTATTTGTGGTAGCTCAAGCCCACAGCTCTCAGCACTTTGGAAGGTCAAGGCAGGAGGATCACTTGAGGCCAGGAGTTCAAGACCATCCTGGGCAACATAGTGAGACTCTTTCTCTACAAAATTTTTTTTGAAAAATATCCAGGCATGCTGGTATGTGCCACTTAGGAGGCTGAGGATCCCTTGAGCCCAAGAGTTCAGGGCTGCATCAGCTATGGCGGTGCCACTACATTCCAGCCTGGGTAACAGAGCGAGACCTTGTCTCTAAAAAGTTAATTATCAAATAATTTAAAAATAGAATACCATAGAAGCTACCAACACGTGCTTGTTTCTAGAACTCTTTTTCTATTAAAATACTGTACTGAATGTTAACCATTTTTTCAACAAGTTCCTCAGTATTAAAATGAATTAGCTAGAATTGATTTATAGACATTAAAATGAGGCAGCATTGACTTCCAGAGTGCTATGGACAGTCTTTTTTTCCTGAGTTTCTATTTTTTCTCGTAAGATGGGAATAATATTGCCTTAAAAGGATGTTAGAGTGTCCAGAACTGTATTTTATATGACGGGGAAGAAGGAAAGTGCACATGTGCTGAAAAAGCCATTAGGTTTACACAGTAAAAGAACAGGTAGTACAAAGTAAAGGCAATGAAATGGCATATGATTAACCCACTTTGTACCTTAGGGCCAAAGGGTGATTAGAAGGACTTTTTGCCCAAGAAAGTTTATAATGGAGAAAAGATTTCCAAAGGTGAGCCCTTTCCCTTGAGAGTGTAATGTACTTGAATTGTAAGATCTTAATTCTTCATAACAGCTTGGTGTAAATACTATAAAAAGAAAATTGTTTTCCAAGTCAACCTGTGACTTCTTTGATACTCGTCTACAGGTTGATACAAAGCTGGTATAGAGAGTTTAAATCTAGAGGTGAAATGTCAGACTTTGACATTTGTTTTGATTTTATGATTTTTAATTCATATAGTGGGCATCTTGAATAATACCTGCTGTGGACATTTTAGGTCATTGGCTACAAATGGTCACCTTTCCTTAAGAAACTAGTCACTCTCTTCTGCATGAAAAATGTTTGCATCATCTAAGAGCAATAAATAGTGTTGCAGTAATCCCAACTCCTCTAAAAATAAAAGCTTACACTTAGCATGGTGCTTATTATGACTAGGCACCATTCTAAATGTTTTACATATATTGTTAATCCTCACAGCAACTTTGTGAGATAGGTACTGTTATTATCCTCATTTTAACAAATGAGGAAGAGTGACGGGTTAAGTAACCATAAATATAATTACTGTAAAGTACTAGTTATGTTAAATAGTTTTTGGGGACTCTTTGGAAATCTCCTGCCTCCACTTGGAAGGGATCACCCTCCTTCCTACCTCTCTTTTATTGATAGCTACTATAGTCTTTAGAGATAAAGATTGCCTTGAAATTAAATCACTTCTACTTCCTTTTTATTTTGTTTTCATTCAAAACTATATCTGACACAGGCTTCAGGGGTTGTTATTACAAGTATAAGTTTATAGAAGCAGCCAGAAATTCAGTAACACACATCAGGGTATAGGTTAGTTCATTATTACAGATAGTCTCTTTCCCTTCATTTCTCTGTTACTCTTTTGCCTATCTTTTATCATTTTGACCAATAATGGACTCAGGTCAAGCACTGGCATATCTAAGTAACTATATTTTTAGGTCATTTGAAAAAGATACAGGGTGAAGTATTCTTTTGCAGTAAGGGCATAAGATCTCTAAAATACTACTTCAGATAATTTTTTACAAGAGTAAGAAAAATCTAAAATGATGATGATAGTATTTTATGGCATAGATTCCTTTGCTTACGTGTGTAAAAATGTAACATTCAATTCACCAGAGATCTATTCTCACAGAATATGGCAACTTAACCAATATTTTAAAAATATTATTATTAAGGAGAAGTAGATTATCCATATTTGATAGGATTTGGTAAAGTTAGCAAGCATGAATATGGGAAGTAGTGACAGACAAGCATGCAAATTAGAACTCTACTGCATTAGAACAAATCCACTAACAAATTAACTTCTTAAATTTGGGAAATAAATGTTTTTACAAATCCCTCAATTCAAGATGATAGATTCCCACTCTTGTGACATTGCTAAGTTAGTAAAGTTACAAAAAACAATTTATCCTGTCTCAGCTTACTATTCCTTACCAAGGATGACACAAATATGAATGTCACATTTGGTTTTTAATTATATTCTTCTTTAAATATTTTCTTTCAGATGATTAGTCATTTAAATTAATACTGTAATTTTCATTTAAAGTGGATTTTTCCATTTTTTGGAGCACATCAGGATAGACTTATCAGAGACCATCATCATAAAATAGCTACCTTAAATTCTTTTTTGTAAGATGACAATTTAGGAGAAGAGTGTCACCTGACTAGTCACTCAGGTAAGAGGAAGCTGTTGGGTAGGCAAAAAATACCACATAATTATAAAGAAGACCCAGGTCCCGGAGGCTTAGGTAAGGATATTTTTATAGCTTTTGCCCGCAGCCTTTATCCTAGTGATGGCAAAGTGATCCTCAACGTAAGGAATCCCTTACCACAACTAATACACTCAAATCTACCACAGTGTCCCCAAACTAGACAGTGGGTCCTGTGATACCAAAATTATATATTTGAAAGTCCCACTTCCCTCACTCTGCGTATCACTAGTATTATGTGATACCTTGTTGTATGATTAAAAAAAATACATATAGCAAATTTTAACTGTTAATATAATCTGATTCTAAAAGGAAGTTAGTCTATTTAAAGTCACATAAACTGTTAAGATATGTATGATGTTCATTACAGTATTAATTATTATATTGGAAAATTGTAAATAATCCAAATATTTACCAGTAGGGGATAAATTACATTATAGTTTAGCAATAAAATATAATCTTATGTAGGTATTAAAAAGAATGAGATAATATCAGTAGTTATGCCTGTGTGCATGCATGAAAAGATGTCCAAGACATATTGCTTAAGTAAAAAGAAACAAGTTAACTTTATAAACTTAACACAACTTAAAACTATTTAAAACTTAACACAGCTGTGGAATTATGGGGGAACTTTCACTTAAGTGACGTGTGTTTGAATTTTTTAAACATGTATTTTCTTTGAAAGCAGAAAAGAGAAAGTCCTGTTTGTGTTATGACCTGTTATCCCTGTCTGTTGAATTATATAAAACATGTAACTAAAAAAGAATACCATATAACATGTACAAAATAATACTTTTTGTGGATTAGAAAGTAGTGCATATTGAGATGAGGTAAAGGAAGAAATAAAATGAAAGGATTATTTAGGAGTAGGAATGAGGAGGAAGAAGTTTCGCATTTGAATACCTGAAAAGAAAGGCCGGATGCGCTGGCTCACGCCTGTGATCCCAGCTCTTTGGAAGGCCATTGCCGGTGGATTGCTTGAGCCCAGGAGCTCAAGACCAGTCTGGGCAACATGGGGAAACCCTGACTCTACAAAAAATACAAAAATTAGCCTAGCGTGGTGGTACAAACCTGTAGTTCCAGTTACTTGGGAGGCTGAGGTTGGGGGATCACCTAAGCCCAGGAGGTCGAGACCACAGTGAGCCAGATCACGCCATTGCACTCTAACCTGGGCGACAGTGAGACCCTGTCTCAAAAAATAGAAATAAAAAAGAATACTAAAAGAAGCAAAACTGTGAGTACAGCTTTCCTGATGGAAGCAGAATGGAATAAGATTGGAGAGAACTGGAGTGAAATGTGATGGAAGTAAGGTCTAGCTCCACAGCAGCTGATAGAGGGTTCTGAAGATTGTCATCTGTGCTGTAATGGGATTCAAAAACAGAAAAAATGATGCCAACATACCAAATGCAAAAATAACCTTAGTGTCAGTGCTACAGACTTTATAGTAGTGTAAAGTAATAGCAGACATAGTTAAAATAAAAAAGGAAATGCCCCTTCCTCTTCCCCAGCCTGTTTTCAGCACAGCAACCAGAGTGATTCTTTTAAAAGTTAAGCCAAATGAAAATTTTCATTGGCATAGTGGCCCAGAATGAGCCCCCTCCTCATGACTTTTTGACCTCATTTTCTTCTACTCTCCCCACCCTGCTTATTCCATTCCAAACACAGTCCTCCTTGCTGTTTCTCAAAACCGTCAATCTCTCACCTTAAGGCCTTTCTTTATACTGACTGTCCCTCTGCCTGGAACCGTCTTCTCCCAGATACCCAAATTGCTAACCCTCTTACTCTTCAGAATCTTTGCTCAAATGTCATCTTCTCAATGAGGCCTACCTCTGACCATCTATTTAAATTTGCAATCTGCCTTTCTTCCTTTATATTCCTATAGCAATTTCATCTTCTGGTATAGTATCTAATTATTATGCTTATTGTCTGTCTGTCTCTTTCCTGCTTGCATGAAAGTGTTACAAAGGCGGAATCTCTGTCTTTTTGTACACCAGTGTATCCCATGCATCTAAAACAGGGCTTGTCACATAATAGATGCTTACCAAATATTTATTGAATGGAACAAATGGATTCAAAAGCATGTAAAGAATGTGGCACTTATAATCTAAAAGAAAGTTGTGTGCTAATGCTATGAGTTTTAACTTCCCTTTAAAGTTTTTGCTTGAAATGTCATAGAATCTCAAAACCAACTAGTAGTACTATACATATCTATCACCAGTTTAGGAAACAGTTTCAGAATATAGTTTGGACATTATTGATGTTTTAAGCTATTAATTCACATTTTTGAATTTTATTCCTGGTATAATGTTATTTGCTTTTAATAGTAAAAAGCACGCTTTTATGTCCCTTAGTTTAAACCTTATATACTGTTTCTAAGTGGAAACTTAACTTTCTGCCTATCTTCTGGAATTATTCATTTGGTTAACAGAATTGTGTAGGCCGGGCATGGTGGCTCATGCTTGTAATCCCAGCACTTTGGGAGGCTGAGGTGGCTGAGGTGAGTGGATCATTTGAGGTCGAGAGTTCGAGATCAGCCTGGCCAACATGGTGAAACCCCACCTCTACTAAAAATACAGAAATTAGCCAGGTGTGGTGGCGGGTGCCTGTAGTCCCAGCTACTCCAGCTACTCGGGAGGCTGAGGCAGAGAATCGCTTGAACCCGGGAGGTGGAGGTTGCAGTGAGCTGAGATCACGCCACTGCACTGCAGCCTGGGCGACAGAGTGAGACTCTGTCTTAAAAAATAAATAAATAACAGAATAATTGTGTAAAACTTTTTCGTACCACTATGAACTATTTCTTACATCAACTGTGTCATCTTATAGATGATGATTGGCAGGAAGCACATGAGCGCCTGGCTGAATTGGAAGAAAAGCTACCAGTGGCAGTTAATGAACAAACAGGCAATGGAGAGAGAGATGAAATGGACTTGTTGGGTGACCATGAGGAGAATCTGGCAGAAAGGCTCAGTAAGATGGTGATTGAAAATGAACTAGAAGATCCAGCTATCATGAGGGCAGTGCAGACCAGGCCAGTTTTACAAGTAAGTAAGTTACTCTGATTTGAGAACTATAGCAGACTAAAAATTAAAGTGAAGTATTGAACTTTGCCATTTTATTTTATCTATTCTAATGAGAGATTTACATGTGCCAGAGAAAATTGATAATATATTTCCTGATGATAGCAGTTCTAGAGATAAAGTTGGGGAATAATATATATTCTGGAGCCCCATAATTTCTTATTCTAAAGCAGCTTGAGGCTCTTTTGGAACCTTGCTCCCCAACAGCAGATAAGTCACCCAGAGAGTATACAACATTTCAGACTTCGTGTGTATGTTTTCCTTTTTTGTTAGCCCCAACCAGGAAGCCTGAATTCCAGTATCTGGGATGGATCTGAAGTTCTGAGGCGAATCCGAGGACCACTGCTTGCTCAGGTATTAAATACTTTCTCTTTATATAAAATTTCTAATATCCAAAAATTTTAAGTGGGTTCCTGTTGTCATCCTTTCCTTACTGAAGGGATTTATAGGTCTTTCATTTGCTAGAATTATGTCAACTACTGCATCCAGCACTTAGCTATGCCTTTCTTTAGCCTCCAGGGTAAAGGTTGCAAGGGAGCCATTGGAATTTAAATTTGTTAGTGTATGATTATGATTTGAATCACTTAAAAAGTCTTTTCTGAGCCAGGCGTGGTGGCTCACGCATATAATCCCATCAGTTTGAGAGGCTGATGCGGGCGGATCACTTGAGGTGAGGAGTTCGAGACCAGCCTGGCCAACATGGTGAAACCCCATCTCTACTAAAATACAAAAATTAACCTGGTGTGGTGGTGGATGCCTGTAATCTCAGCTACTCAGGAGGCTGAGGCAGGATAATCACTTGAACCTGGGAAGTGGAAGTTGTAGTAAAGCAAGATCGCGCCACTGCACTCCAGCCTGGGCAACAGAGTGAGACTCCATCTCAAAAAAAAAAAAAAAGTCACTTCTATGCAAAACTATAGGGACAGAGAAGTCATCAGTGTTTACTAGTGGTTGGGCATGGCAGGAGGAGTTAACTGCAAAGGAACAATACAGTGGAATTTGTGGGGAGCGATACAGCTGTTCTTGCTCGCTCTCTTTTTTCTTTTTTGAGACCAGGTCTTACTGTGTCAACCAGGCTAGAGGGCACTGGTACAGTCATAGCTCTCTGTAACCTTGAACTCCTGGGCTCAAGTGATCCTCCCACCTCGCCTCTTGAGCAGCTGAGACTACAGGCACATGCCACCATGCCTGGCTAAGTTTTTTTATTTTTGTACAAATGAAGTCTCGCTGTGTTACCCAGGCTAGTCTCAAACTCCTGGCTTCGAGTGATCCTCCCACCTCAGCCTCCCAAAGCGCTGGGATTTCAGGCATGAGCCACTTACTTACCAAACTCAGAGAACCATATACCAAAAAGTAAATTTTACTATATGTGAATTAAAAATAAAGTTTAAAAATTTCTTAAGGTGTTTTTGGCATCTGTAGAGATTACTAAAACGTATCAAGTTAGTTAATTTCTATTTTATTTTACCACTTCCTCAATTAGGAAATGCCTACAGTGTCTGTATTAGAATATGCCTTGCCTCAGAGGCCCCCCCAGGGTCCAGAAGATGATCGGGACCTTTCTGAACGTGCATTACCAAGGCGGTCAACTTCACCTATCATTGGCAGTCCTCCTGTTAGAGCTGTCCCCATAGGCACCCCACCTAAACAGATGGCTGTACCCAGCTTCACCCAACAGGTACCTCTCATTAACAAGCACACAGCCCAGGATATTGGGAATCTGGGCAAAATTATTTGGAAAATTGGTGATGTTGGGTGGAGGGTGGAAATTTTGGGTAGGCATTAGATTAGAAAGAAAAATAGCTAGTTCGAGGATAAATTAGTACAAATAAGAGACACATTCCCTGATACCCTTTGCTGCTGCTATTGCTGCTGCCTTTTAATTGGGGGAGAAAAAATGGTAGTTAGCCACATTTAGCACATATATCCTTTTTAAAGTGTTTTGCTGGCTGCCCAAAACATTGTCAGAGAGATAACTGAAAGCTGGGGGGAGTGGGAACACACAGCATTGTCCACATCCCTTTTTACCTTTAAGATATCCCTGCTTTCCCTAGAGCCTGTGCAGTCCTGTTCCATAGACTTTCCTCCACCTGAAACCAGCAGCTGAAAAGGAAGGCCAATTTGGAAGGTATGGGGGGAGGGTGGTGTTGGTATGGCCTAGTTAGGCTCAACATCCTATGAAATGGTGGAGTCACAATGTATCACAAAAGTGCTGAGCATGGCGGCCATATCACAGGGGCTTCAGAATAGGACTTAGTTAATCCTCCAGCTTTCTTATCATTCCTTCTCCCTCAGTGCTACCAAAATATATCCTCTTGGAGAGAATTTGCAAGTCAGAATATCTGCTGGTATCTCCCTCAGACAGCATGGAAGGGTGGGGATAACTGGAGAATTAGCTAAATCTTCCTCAGTTAATGCTGACACTGTACTTGATTTGTGAGAGAAAGTGGCCCAAGGTTCTGTATTTGAACCTGTAGCCATAGCAATTTGCTTAGAAGTAGGGCTTTGCATTGAGTTCTGTGTCTCTACCAGTACTTGAGGGGAGGGAGTGTAGGTGGAAGAAAAACTGATTTCATTGAGTGTAGTTGTATATATGTTTGTCCTGATAGATTCTGTGTCCGAAGCCTGTCCATGTTCGGCCCCCAATGCCACCTCGTTATCCTGCTCCCTATGGTGAGAGGATGTCTCCAAACCAGCTCTGCAGTGTCCCGGTATGTCACTTTAAGCCTAACAAAAATGTGCAGTATGTATTTTCTGATCGCTATTTGTATGATCACTGCCAGTATTTAGATTTGCTGACATCTCCTAAATTATACCTATTTTTTATAATCTCCTTAAATTTCTGGATCCAATTGTCCCCAGGTCAGAGGACAGTTGTTTCTTACATCAACTCTTTTCTTATCTTTAAAAATCTAAACTGATTGTGATCATCTGGTTCCTACCGTTTCAGTCCCACATTCTACTGCTTTCTTTTTCATGTCACATGGTCATGGTGTTTTTGTAATTCCTAGCGTTACTCTTTTTTTATATTCCAGAACTTGACTCTGTAATTTGAGAGTTATTATACCCAAGTTTATACTGCATTTCTGCTGAGTTTCCTTATTATTATATTGATGTACCCCCTGTTTTATAGCATATTCTTTTTTTTTTTTTTTTTTTTTATCTTAGAACTCTTCCCTCCTGGGTCACCCTTTTCCTCCTAGTGTTCCTCCTGTTCTCAGCCCCCTCCAGAGAGCACAGCTTCTTGGAGGAGCACAGGTAAGCCTCTGATTAACCCTACTCATAAAGAACTCTCCTACTTTCCTAAAGTTCATTAGATGGTAGCCCCTTTTTTGCTGTTAATCACTACTCTTATTTTTGCCTTTACTTTTTCAAACAAAGTTATTGATGGAAACAGTATTCACCTTTCTGTAGACAAAAGCAAAGGGACTTGCTAATTGTCTAAATCTAAGATCTTCCTCTTTGTAGCTACAGCCTGGACGGATGTCTCCCAGCCAGTTTGCACGGGTGCCTGGATTTGTTGGTAGTCCACTTGCTGCCATGAATCCCAAGTTGCTACAAGGGCGAGTTGGGCAGATGCTTCCCCCAGCACCAGGCTTCCGTGCCTTCTTTAGTGCTCCACCCTCCGCTACACCACCTCCACAGCAGCACCCTCCTGGCCCAGGACCCCACCTGCAAAACCTAAGGTATACAAAATCAATGCCACTATTTATCAATTATCAGCCAAGTCTCTTGATTGTGGATGTGTAGTTTTATAAGTCTCTTGATATTTGCTAACTAATAAATTTTAAGATGTTATTGGATCCTCAGGTTGACAAACATGGAAATGTTTGACAATCTCCAGGCTTTCTTGTGAATCACATTTTTCTCACATTACCAGAAGGTATGGAATAGAGCAACAGATGCTGAAAAGTCAGCTAATCTTCACACTAGCTAAGTTGTTTGCTTTTATCCTCTGGTTTTATAACAAAAGGGGTTCAAGTTCCTGTTTCGGTGAAGTTGTGTTTTATTACATATCGTATTGTGGCAGTCAGGATTTTCAAGAGACACCCGAGAACCAGTAGAGGAAAGAGAGCAAGAATGTTCATGTGAGCAAGTTTTATTTTAAGAAATCGGCTCATGTGATTGTAGAGACTGACAAGTTCGAAATCCGTAAGACAGACCAGCAGGCAAGAAACAGTTTTTAAAAGCTCAAGTTGCAGTCTTGAGTTTGAAATAAGTATAGCAGGTCAGCAGTCAAGACACTCAAGCAGGATTTCTGTGTTCCACTCTTGAGGCAGAATTCCTTCTTCTGGGAAACTTTAGTTTGTTATAAATGTTAATCACATCTTTACAAAATACCCTCACAGCAACATCTAAGCAGTGTTTGACCAAATAACTGGGTACTAAGGCCTAGTCATATTAACTATCACACATATATCTTTAATAATATTCCCACATAGTTGAAACTGAGTATGTTAAACCTACTTAGAGACTTCTGTTAAACAGTTAAAAGCAAAAAGAAAAAGAATTATACTGCTTTACTCCTAATTCACTCAGATTTCATGATCACCCTTTTAGAACTTGGTCTTTGTGGAAGATATGTAAAAATATGACTATCTTTTGCTTCTAAAAGGTCTCCTTAGAATGGACTTTTTTATTTTTTTATTTTTTTGAGACAGAGTCTCACTCTGCCTCCCAGGCTGGAGTGCAGTGACCCACACGATATCGGCTCACTGCAGACTCTGCCACCTAGGCTCAAGCGATTCTACTGCCTCAGCCTTCCAAGTAGCTGGAACTGCAGGCGCCTGCTACCACACCCAGCTAATTTTTGTATTTTTAATAAAGACAGGGTTTCACCATGTTGGCCAGGCTGGTCTCGAGCTCCTGACCTCAAGTGTTCCACCCGCCTTGGCCTCCCAAAGTGCTGGGATTACACACTGCACCCAGCCCGAATAGACTTTTGTAGTCCCTTAAGTTAACCTGTATGAAGTTATCCTGTACTGACAACATTCTTTAAAATTTCAAATCATCAGGATGACCAAACTGAGAACCTCTGTTCCATTTTTCTTAGATCTCAGGCCCCAGTGTTTAGACCGGACACAACTCACCTTCATCCACAGCACCGTCGACTCTTGTATCAGAGACAGCAACAGAATAGAAAGTAAGTACTCATCCAACTCCTTTATGGCTTCTTAATTCAGCTTTTAATTTTGACAGTGTAACAACATGCTATTTAGTTGTTTGGTTTTTTTGTAAGTTTACTTCGTATCCGTAAACCTGAATGTATTATCAACATGTAAATATGAAAAGCATAATATTGAGTAAAGAAGCAAGGAACGGAATTACATGTACCATTTATGTAAAACTAAAAGGCACACAGAATAATACTGTGTAATATTTAAACACAGACACACAAGTAATAAACGTACAAAAACATTTCAGGGAGGATACATACCAAGGCATGATAGTGGTTCCTCTATGAAGGAAGAGAAGCTGGAAACTGGGTCTAGAGGGGTACAACAGGGCCTCTGTCAGTGTAACACTGTGTTATTTTAATATTACTTTAAAATATTTGAAGCAAATTCAACCAAATACATTTTTTTCTATTAGGTCTAGGTGATGGGTAAATGGATATTTATTATAGTATTTGCTGGGCTTTTTCTCTGAATTTGAAATATTTCGTGATTTTTAATGAGTTTAAAATATTTATGTATACTTCAGAGCTAAATCGCCTGTGTCAAAATCCCTTAGTCCACCACTAGATGTATGGCTTTGGACAAGTTACTTGATCTCTCTTTGGCGTCGGTTTGTTGTCTTAAGTGGGGAAGAGAAAACTACCTACCTCACAGAGTTATTCTAGAGCTTATACAAAAGTCCATAGGTGAATATGCTTAGCATATGGAAAGGTACTCAGATCTTAGTTTTATTTCTTGATTATTTATTACATAGCTCTTTCCTCTTAAATTCTATTAAAACTTAGTTCTTTTTCACTCCCCTTTTAAGAAAAGCAAGGGGAATCTTTAAAAAAAAAAAAAAAAAACTGGCCTCATTTATTCCTCTGTGTTAAAAAGCGTAATTAATTTGCCCACTTGGAGTGAATGTGGTGTATGTTTTTCAGTCAGCATCGGAATCTCAATGGTGCAGGAGATAGAGGAAGTCACCGGAGCAGTCATCAAGATCATCTCCGAAAGGATCCATATGCCAATCTCATGTTGCAGCGGGAAAAGGATTGGGTCTCCAAAATCCAGATGATGCAACTTCAAAGCACTGATCCCTACCTGGATGATTTTTATTACCAGGTAAATACTCTGTGCTAGTTTTGAGGATAATAGTTTGGTCCTCTACACTGGTAAGGGTATTCATTTAAATATTGGTACAATTAAATATTTGTAAAATTTTCTTTTGAGATACTTAGCCTCTTGCACTACTCACTATCAGTACATTTCTAGAACTGAACTTGTGTTACTGTCACTGGCATAAATTATTTGATGGTAAACAACAGTCGTGTTCTGTGCTTATGTTACAACCGAAATCATCCTCTCATGGTAGAATTACTTTGAAAAACTGGAGAAACTGTCAGCTGCTGAAGAAATACAAGGTGATGGCCCTAAGAAGGAACGCACCAAGCTTATCACCCCTCAGGTGGCCAAACTGGAGCACGCCTATAAGCCAGGTAAGGTCCTCATAAGAAAAATGCCCATAATAAAAGAAATTTGAGAAGCCGCTGATTAAATATAGACAAGTGTATATGTGGACGGATATGTAAAGACATTTCAAAGTGATTTTAAAGTACCATTGTCCTTAATAAATGCAAAACTCAGCCTTTATTCGAGCCTGGACTGAACGCGTTGACATGTGCCTTTTCAGGTCCTTTTCTACTTGAGATTTCATGATTTTTTAAATGTATTCTAATTTTCAGTACCCCTAAAATAAGGGGGAAATACTTTAGATTTTTTATTGTGATAATTATTGTAACAAAGAGAGAAAGGATAGATTTTGATAAGGGGTTGCTTTAAATAATACATTGACCTTTTTTTTTTTTTTTTTTTTTTTGAGAAAGAGCCTTACTCTGTTGCCCAGGCTGGAGTGCATTAGTGCCATCCCAGCTCGCTGCAACCTCCACCTCCTGGGCTCAAGCGACTCTCATGTCTCACCCTCCTGAGTAGCTGGGATTACAGGCGTGTGCCACGACATCCAGCTAATTTTTGTACTTTTAGTAGAGACGGGGTTTCGCCATGTTGGCCGGGCTAGTCTCGGACTCCTGGCCTCAAGTGACCCACCCACCTCGGCCTGCCAAAGTGCTGGGATAATAGGTGTGAGTTACCACACCCGGCCTAAATAACACATTGACTTTTGCAGTAAGTTATTAGACTATGAGTAAGGTACAGAGGAAAGTAAAAATCTTATTTGAACACTGCCTGCCTGCATTGCTGACTTTTTATTTTGTTGGATTTTTTTTTTTTTTTTTTGTCTTTGCAGTGCAATTTGAGGGCTCTTTGGGAAAGCTTACTGTTTCTAGTGTGAATAATCCCCGAAAAATGATTGATGCTGTTGTGACATCTCGGAGTGAGGATGATGTAAGTGTCAACACAATTGTCTGTTTAAGAACATCTGATTTGTGACCATTTCTTTTGGGGTCACCATGGAATGAGATCAGGCATGGTAGAGTTGTTTGTAGTCTAACCTGGGACCTCCTATCTTGTCATGCATTCTAGTTTTCCACAGATGTGCTGCAATATTAACACCTTCATTTCTAAGGCAGCCAGGCAGGGACTAGGGTGGCAGGAGTCTTTGGACTGGGTAGCTCTGGCTGCAAACAGCATGTGTTTACTCCAGTTTGATGTTTTAAAAAATTATCATTTTCTGGCCGGGCGCGGTGGCTCAAGCCTGTAATCCCAGCACTTTGGGAGGCCGAGACGGGCGGATCACTAGGTCAGGAGATCGAGACCATCCTGGCGAACACGGTGAAACCCCGTCTCTACTAAAAAATACAAAAAACTAGCCGGGCGAGGCGGCGGGCGCCTGTAGTCCCAGCTACTCGGGAGGCTGAGGCAGGAGAATGGCGTAAACCCGGGGGGCGGAGCTTGCAGTGAGCTGAGATCCGGCCACTGCACTCCAGCCCGGGCGACAGAGCCAGACTCCGTCTCAAAAAAAAAAAAAAAAAAAAAAAAAAAAAAATTATCATTTTCTATATGTTTTAAGATTTTCAGAAAGAGGATCAGAAAAAATAATTATGGGGTACGAGGCTTAGTACCTGGGTGATGAAAGAATTTGTACAACCCCCATAACACAAGTTTACCTGTGTAACAAACACATGTACCCTATAACCTGCACGTGTACCCTTGAACGTAAAATTAAAGTTTAAAAATAAAAAACAAGATTTTCATATTTCATATGATTTCCTTATCCTCTACTAAGATTACCCTTTGCCTATCTATGAATGCAATTTAATAGTTTGTGGGTTAAGTCAACTTTGACCTTTGGTCATACTAGGGTTGCTTTAGATTAACTTTCAGAGACTCAATTATCTTCTCAAAGTACTGTCACAAATGAACCTACAGATGCACACTTGATAAATTATTTTGACAAAGGTAAAGAATTTGCATTGAATAGTCTTCTCTTTTTTAGGAGACAAAAGAAAAACAAGTTCGAGACAAGAGGAGAAAAACCCTTGTCATAATTGAGAAAGTAAGTTTAGAATTTGTTGCTGTAGTTAGTTTCAAATATGGAACTGTCACATGTATGTATACACTAGAACTGAAACAGTGAGCAATCAATCAGTGTTCTTTGGTTTTAATTCATGAATGTATTCTTGGTAAGTGACTGTTGTGTACCAGATAACTCTGGAAAGGATTATGGTATGTTTCACCTATTGGCATCATAGAAAGAACACTGCAGTTAAAGTTGGAAGTGTACTGGGTTTTTGTCCAAGCTTATTCAGTTAATAGCTGAGTGTCTTTGGGCAAGTCACCTCTCTAAGCCTGATAAAATGGGAATAAAAATTACATTGTCCTACCTATGGATTAATTTAGTTCACAGATATTTACTGGGCACTATTCTGGGTGCTGAGGAAACTAATGGATATTAATAGTTGATTTGTAAAATGTAAACACCACATTGTAAGGCCATACACCATAGTGGGTAAAAGCATGGACTCTAGAACCAAGCTGCAAATCATGTCTTTTCCATTTCTGAGTCTGTAACTTAAGGCACGTTATTTAACCTTTCTATGCTCAGTTTCTTTATCTGTAAAAATGGAGATGATAGTAGTAGTTTTCTCTTTGGATTGCCTTTTTTTTTTTTTTCTTTTTGAGACAGAGTCTCACTCTGTCGCCCAGGCTGGAGTGCAGTGGTGTGATCTCAGCTCACTGCAACCACCACCTCCCGGGTTGAAGCGATTCTCCTGCCTTACCCTCTTAAGTAGTTGGGATTACAGGTGCGGGCTACCTCACCCGACTAATTTTTTGTATTTTTAGTAGAGATGGGGTTTTACCATGTTGGCCAGTCTGGTCAAGGAAAGTGTAATTATTTTACTATCTTTTTTTTTTTTTTGAGACAGAGTTTCACTCTTGTTGCCCAGGCTGAAGTGCAATGGCGAGATCTTGGCTCACCACAACCTCCGCCTACAGGGTTCAAGTAATTGTCCTGCCTCAGCCACCCGCATAGCTGGGATTATAGGCATTTGCCACTACGCCCGGCTAATTTTGTATTTTTAGTAGAGACGGGGTTTCTCCATGTTGTTCAGGCTGATCTTGAACTCCCAACCTCAGGTGATCCGCCCATCTCGGCCTCCCAAAGTGCTGGGATTACAGGCATGAGCCACTGTGCCCGGACTATTTTAATATCTTTGCCTGGTAGAATGGAGGTCAGAGAGAGACAAAGAATGGTGGTTTGAGGAACTTTTTAAGTTATTTCATATGGTTTTCCACATTTAAAAAAAATCTCAGTCTTTCTATAATAAGTTTGTATTCTTTTGTCTTTTTCTAGTAGTCAGTCCTAAACAGTGAAATTGTTTAACTAATACTCTGGTTCTGACCCAGCATGCTGTGGCCTGCTTTTGTCTCCCTTCTTAGACCTACAGCTTACTCCTTGATGTGGAGGACTATGAAAGACGTTATCTCCTATGTCTAGAAGAAGAGCGACCTGCCCTAATGGATGAGAGAAAGCACAAAATTTGTAGCATGTATGACAACTTGAGGGGGAAATTGCCTGGACAAGAGAGGTAAGCATTATGCACTTTGAGGAAAACATTAAACTAACTGGACTCCTTCCTCTGTCATAACTGGACTTCATACATTTCTGCTTCTTAGGTACACTTCCCTACCATCTCTGTAAGCTCAGAATCTATCCTTTTAGCCTAACTCAAATGCCACTTTATTTAAAATATGAATTATCTTTTCCAGTGAGGAAAGAAAAAAAACCTCTTTATCCTGAATTTATCATTCAACAAATACATAGTATCTGCCAGGGACAGTGCTAGGGGCTAGAGATATAGTGGATAACATTATTGGGTTCTTGTTTTTGTGCTTACAGATTGCACCTGATTTATGATTACTAGCATGTTTAACCTTGTAATCTTTATTATTATTAAGATCAGATATACAAACATTTATACTTCCTGGGATTTCCACAAAATATTTATATCCTGTTGAAACCATTCAGTCTTCCAATGAGGAATCCCTCTCCTACCCCATTATCTGCAAAAGAATCTTGCTCATGTTAAATGTTCTGTAAATCCTAAATACTTATTTGATATATTCAAGAGAACTACAACTTCTAATAACTCCCTTTCCTTTTACCCGTTCAAGAGAATCGCTGATCCTTCTAAGCCAGGACATACACAAAACCAAACATAAGAATAAGCACTTCCTGGCCGGGCGCGGTGGCTCAAGCCTGTAATCCCAGCACTTTGGGAGGCCGAGACGGGCGGATCACGAGGTCAGGAGATCGAGACCATCCTGGCTAATACGGTGAAACCCCGTCTCTACTAAAAATACAAAAAACTAGCCGGGCGAGGTGGCGGGCGCCTGTGGTCCCAGCTACTCGGGAGGCTGAGGCAGGAGAATGGCGGGAACCCGGGAGGCGGAGCTTGCAGTGAGCTGAGGTCCGGCCACTGCACTCCAGCCTGGGTGACAGAGCGAAACTCTGTCTCAAAAAAAAAAAAAAAAGAATAAGCACTTCCTTTTCAACACACCTTGTCTGGAGTTAGGCTGACAGGGAACTGGTTGAATAAATGGTTTATCCATAGATTGGAATGTTATCTAGCCATTAAAATGTATGTGGTTGAAATATATTTATTGACATAGTTGTCAAAGTTGTTGAGTGAAAAAAGTCAAGGTACAAAACCATATGCATTCTATGAGCCCATTGTTTTATGAAAGAAAAAAATATGTAATACAAAGCAAAATGTTGTTTAAAATGGTAACACTAATTAACTCTGAGTTGATGAATGTTTTTCTTTTTTTTTTTTTTTAAAGCTATTGCTCTGTTAACCTGTTATTTGTATGGTTACTTAAAAGTTAAGAGAGGGAGGCCAAGCACTTTGGGACCCTGAGGGGGTGGATCACTTGAGGTCAGGAATTCGGAGACCAGCCTGGCCAACATGGTGAAACCCTGTCTCTAGAAAAATACAAAAATCAGCTGGTCATGGTGGCGGGCATCTATCGTCCCAGCTGCTTGGGAGGCTGAGGCAGGAGAATCACTTGAATCCAAGAGGTGGAGGCTGCAGTGAGCCAAGACAGCGCCACTGCACTCCAGCCTGGGTAACAAAGCGAGACATTGTCTCAAAAAAAAAAAAAAAAAAAGAGAAAAAAGAAAAGAAAAAAAGTTAAGGAAATTAGTGCATACAGTTGGCCAAGTTTTTTTTTAACCATATAATTTGTGAAATGATGATTTTCTACATTTGTAAAACCTGAAAATTTACTTTTTATTTGGTTGAGATTTGGAGAAGTAATTCCTACTAATTTATTTTATTGTAGAATGAAAATGAATGCAGTATATTCATTCAGTAACATCTAAGAGGAAAAAAATGAGGGTTTCTTAATTGTTCTTGCTGACCTAAGTTGGCATTTTTCTTCCGTTGCAGGCCTAGTGATGACCACTTTGTACAGATCATGTGTATCCGAAAAGGGAAGAGAATGGTTGCCCGTATTCTTCCTTTCCTCTCCACAGAGCAAGCAGCTGACATTCTCATGACAACAGCCAGGAACCTCCCTTTCCTTATCAAGAAGGATGCACAAGATGAGGTGACTCTGCAAGATGGGACAGCTTGCCTTTGAGTCTTTATAACTGATAAGATTTCTAGAATGCAAACTTATTTTCCTCTCCTCTTCCCTTTTGTATTTTTGTCTAATCTTTGGCCGTGTGATTTGATTATTTAAAACAAAACCTTTAGTATTTCAGGCCTATATTTTTAATCCCATATTTGGTCAAACAGACTACATTTCTAAACATGAGAAAAACAACAATTCCCTCTTACTTGACATAGTTGTGAAGATGTGGTCTGTATCAGAATTACTTGTGTAGATAAGTCAGTTCCACCCCAAACTGCTGAATCAGAATTTACAGAAGGATTAGGGTTTTTGTATCTTAGTCTCCAACTGAATCTGATGTTCACTGAAGTTTGAAAACTTTTAGTCTTGGTTACTTTGCTAGATATAAAGTATCATTATTGGTCTGTTATCAGTAGCTTAACATTAGCCTGTAGACTTAGTTAAATGGTATCCCACAGCAGTTGAACTAGTCCCCTTTTGGTTTCTTTTTTTTTTTCTTTTTTTGAGACAGAGTTTTGCTCTGTCACACAGGCAAGAGTGCAATGGTGTCATCTTGGCTCACTGCAACCTCCGTGTCCCAGGCTCAGGTGATTCTCCCACCTCCTGAGTAGCTGGGACTAGAGGCATGCGCCACCATGCTCGGCTAATTTTTTTACCTTTTGTAGAGACGGGGTTTTGCCACGTTGCCCAGACTGGTCTCAAACTCCTGGACTCATGCAGTCCTCTTGCCTTGGCCTCCCAAAGTGCTAGGATTACAGGCTTGAGCCACTGCGTCCAACCCGAGCCAGCCCTTTAAATAATTTTTATCATGATCTAAACTGGGCTGGAATTTTAACATGGTTATCACATGTGCAAGTTAATTCTTGGTTAGAGTTTTTCTCTCCTTATCCTTGTCATAGCACACCTGAAAGATGAGCAAAATTTAGAATAGTCTTAAGAAGTTCAAAATAAGAAATCGATAAAAGTAGGACAAAGGATGAATATTAGTGCAAGATTCAGAGTAGTGAAATATATGTTATAGACTACAAGTTGAGTAATAACCATCTAAGTAATGAGTCCCCAGAAAACACAGAACACCAGAATACCTTCTAAATGGTATGCTACAAAAGGGAAACTATTCCTTCATAGATCCTTGAAATGTTAGCATCTGCAGAAGAAATGAAAGAGAAGTTTAGGTCTCATTGAAAGCAGTGAAGTGGGTTGGGACAAGTATATATTTAAAAGATTTGGCTGGGCACAGTGGCTTACACCTATAATCCCAACACTTTGGGAGGCTGAAGCAAGTGGATCACTTGAGGCCAAGAGTTCAAGACCAGCCTGGGGCAACATGGTGAAAACCTGTCTCTACTAAAACTAGAGAAAAAAAAAAAAACTGAGCCGGACACAGTAGTGTATGCCTATGGTCCCAGCTACTCAAAAAAAAAAAAAAAAAAAGATTCCACAAATGAAAAATGAGTTGGGGAAAAGTTCCAGTATTTGAGGTTTATCCTAGAAAATAGAAGACCAGACTAAAAAAGTAACAGCTACCTTAGAGCATGTAAATTGTACGCAGTGTAATGGGCACTTGTAATCCCACCAGAGCTCTTCTGTGGAAACAAGTTTGGGAGATATTTGCTGAATACTTCTATGTGCCAGGCACTATTTTACCTCCTAAAAATACAGCACCTAGTTCTAGGTGCTAAAAGATAAGAGTACAAAAATGCCTGCTTTCGTAGAGCTTACCTGCTAGGGAGGAAAGTTTGGCTAAATACCAAGGCTGATTTTTACCTGTATGTTTTAAGGAGTAATAAACCATATCTCTAAATACCATTTTCTTGAAGTAATAGCTGGTTCTAGGTCTGAATCATGAAGTGTACAAGATATCCTGGAATATGTCGTGCCAGAAAGCAAGGAAGTTAATAGATTACTAGGGTCCTGTCTAAAGGATGCACAAACTAATTTCAAGGGATTCACATTGGCCAAAAGTGGAATAATTTTCATCAGAAAGAACAATTACAGCAGTAGATTGAAATATATCAAATATATTTAATGAGTTAATAATGTTTAAGCATATATTGATCTCCTTTGGAGACTACTAGACCATCAACTCACTATTCAGAAAATTGGTAAATAAAGGAGCATTTATCCTGCCTTTCCATTACAACCAAATGTCATGGTAATCAGACAGTTGATAATACAAAGTTCTTCTTTGTAGAAGAATTTTTGCTAATAAATACAAAAGAAATGATAAAATTAGAAAATAACTGTTTTCACAAACCTCAATGGAAAAGCAGTCAATCTAGACAGTGCTCATTATTGGCTGCTAAAAGCATTAGGTAAAAAGTGGATGGGGAACTTTACAGTGGTTGGAGCAGCCTGGCAACACGTGAACCCACTGATGAACTCTTAACACCTCTAAGAGTGGGACAACCAAGCACTGTGCTTTTTTTTTAAAAAAAAAAAAAAAAAAAAAAAAAGGAAACAGAATCTTCCTGTGTTTCCAGGCTTGTCTCAAGCTCCTGGGCTCAAGCAATCTTCCCATCTCTGCTTCCTAAAATGCAGGGATTACGGGCATGAGCCACCATACCTAGCTCTTCTTGACATAATGCAATGGAAAACACACAAGTTCTATCCATGATGTTTTCTCACATGTCCCTCCCACACCCTACTGAACCTGAATCAAATAAACCTGTTATTCTAACTATCCGTTTAGGAGGGAAACAAAGGATAGCAGAACCTGCTAAGTGATACTGCCAACATGCACTTTGCCAAATTCAAGCTACAGAACAAATGACCCAGTTCCTTTAACAGTTAAATAACAAGAGAAAAGGGCCAGTGGCAGAGGACCTGTTAGAGAGATTTTAAAAACCTTACCAGGCAAATGCAATGTGTGGATCTTGTTTGAACCATAATTAGCACAATAATGGTTCTAATACAAAGTTCAGCTGCTAAATTTTTAAAGGCATTTGGGGGAATTTGAATTTGGAACAGACACTAGATGATATTTTAAAATTATTTCCTGAGAAATGTTCTATGAAAAAAAATTATTATTTATTTTGTTAGGTATGATATTGTGAGAGATTTTGTTAGAAATACAAACTGATATATTTTGGGATGAAATGATATGATACAGGAGGAATATGGATTTAATAAGATTGGCAAAATGTTGTTTGGTTGACGTTGAAATTGGGTGGTGAGTACATCAATGTCATTATGCTGCTGTTTGTATTTTCGTGTATGTTTTAAAATGACCATAATAAAAGCTTTATTTATAGTAGTAGACCACAAAAAATATTTTACTCCCCATTTGCGGGTGCCATTTAAAGTAAAACCAACCATCACTTTATACCGTGGGCATTGATTGTCTAGAAGCACTCTTGATTTCCTTTGTTGTGTTATAACCTAGTTATTTATATTAATAGTTCTGTATTTTAACTTTCCAGTTGGCTACATGACAAAAGAAATAAATGACTAGAAGACTGGAATTCAACAGCCTTGGGTTCTGGCTCTAGCTGCTGGCTGTGTAACTCCAAACACTGAGTTTCTCATCACTTTATAGATTCTCTAAAAATCTATAAAAATTGGCTAATTATTTCTCTTCTTCCTCATTGAGCTTTTTTAAGAATAAGAGAAAATACAATTAAATCTGAAAACACTTCTTTTTTTTTTGAGACGGAGTCTTGCTCTGTTGCCCAGGCTGGAGTGCAGTGGCGCAATCTTGGCTCACTGCAAGCTCCGCCTCCCAGGTTCACGCCATTCTCCTGCCTCAGCCTCCCGTGTAGCTGGGACTACAGGCGCCCGCCACCGCACCCAGCTAATTTTTGTGTATTTTTAGTAGAGCCGGGGTTTCACCATGTTAGCCAGGATGGTCTCGATCTCCTGACTTCGTGAGCCTCCTGTCTCGGCCTCCCAAAGTGCTGGGATTACAGGCGTGAGCCACCGCGCCCGGCCACTGAAAACACTTCTTTTGAGACAGGGTGGGTCTCACCCTGTCACCCAAGCTGGAATGTGGTGGTGCATTCATAGTTCAATGTAACCTTGAACTCCTAGACTCAAGCAAACCTACCACCTCAGCCTACTGAGTAGCTGGGGACTACAGGTGAAATTTTTTTATTTGTTGTAGAGATGAGGTCTCACTACATTGTCCAGACTAGTCTTGAACTCCTGGCCTGAAGTGCTCTTCTGCTTGGCCTTTAACCTATCTTAGAGTGCTTCTCACAGTATATTGAAATTGCCAATTAACCCATATCTCCTCCACTGTACTTTAGATCCCTGAGGTTCTGTGTCCTGTTTGCCATTTGTTTTTAGCCCATGGGGCCTGCATTTAAAAATATTTATGGAATGAGTTAAAATATTGATGTTTTAGCATAACTCTCGGTATGTATTTGCGAGTGATTTTTTTTTACACCCTTGGTTCACACAAGTCGTGGTGTTTTGAGATGAAAAAGTTCTCAGTAGATAGCTTAGAATTCATTGTTAAGACTCTAGTCATATCTGCCAGACTTGTGCCTTAAGTGGTTGAATATGCAAATGAGCATCCTTCCATCCATGCCCCTGATGGAGGGTAACTGAAGTAACACATGCCAGGATATAATGCTTTTATTTATATTTTGTAGGTGCTGCCATGCTTACTGAGTCCCTTCTCTCTCCTCCTCTATCATCTTCCATCAGTGACTATCACCAGCCTTTTGCAACAGCTAATGAACCTACCTCAAAGTGCAGCTACACCAGCACCCTCCAATCCTCACCTCACTGCTGTGCTCCAGAACAAGGTGATCTTGCCCTCTTCAGTCCTTGAACTTTGTGAAGTGTCTTAATTTGCATTATAGATTAAAATAATGGCTGCTGTATCTCTAGCAACTTGTGAAAAAGGCTTCTTTCAGTCAAGAGTTACATTAAGCTCCTAGTAACAGAGGCTAGAAATAACAGTGGTTTCAACAAAATAGGATTTTATGTGTCTGGTGTGAAATAAATTTGATTTAGTAGCTCCACAGTCATCAGGGATCCAGGCTTTTTCACTTTTTTTCCTCTGCCATTCTTAGCAGTGGCTTCCATGTTCATTATTCCTCATTGTCCAAGATGGCTGTGGAATTCAAGATTCAGCTTTACATCAAGAAGGATGGATGGATTTTGGAGGGCAAAAAGGTGTGGACCAGCTGCCCATCTTCCTTATTGAGACTTTTTCCAGGAGTTCTAACCAAAAACTTCTACTTACTGTTAATAGCCAGGACATTGTCACATGGCCACACCTAAGTGCGGGGAAGGCTAGAAAATACCTTCTAGTTTATGCCATTGTCATGACACATAAGAGTTCTGATAATGGGTAGGAAGGCATATTAGGTAGGCATTTAGCAGTCTCTGTCATAGTAGAATCATCCATTTCATACTTTATTTGCATCAAGTTAAAGATTCAGAGATTCCTAGGAGAAGCATTGTATGAAGTGAAGAATATGAATTTTTAGTCCTTGCCTGCTACTGTCTAGCTTTGTGACCTTGGACAGATGATACCACATTGCTGAATCAGTTTCCTGGTCTATAAGATGGAGGTGATGATTAGACTTCATAGAGTTGTCCTGGTACTTAAATGAGGTAACAGTTGTAAGTGCTTCGATATAATACCTGGTACATAGTAGTTACTCATTAAGGGCCATTCTATGTATAGTAGAGATGAAAAAGTGGTCTCAAGGCCTCTTGCTCCTTTGCACCTGAAAACCTGCCAAAGCATGACACTAAAGGGTGGTATATCAGAGGCAGAAGAAGTGACAGTGCCTCCGGGGACATTAGATGGGGTTCTGGAGTGATCAGGAATGTGCCTTTCTGTTATTTGGTCTCTTAGTTTTAATTTTAATAAAGGCAGTAGTAGTTTTTTTCTGAGAACAACATGAAAAGGGATTTTTTTTTTTTTTTTTAAATCAGGGTCTGCTCTGTCACCCAGGCCAGAGTGCAGTGGCAAGATCTTGACTCACTGCAACCTCTGCCTCCTGGGCTCAAGCCATCTTCGCACCTCAGCCTTCCAAGTAGATGGAACTACAGGCACGTGCCACCACGCCCAACTAATTTTGTGTATTTTTTGTAGAGGTGGGGTTTCGCCATGTTGCCCAGGCTGGTCTCTATCCGCCTTCCTCGGCCTCCCAAAGTGTTGGGATTATAGGCATGAGCTACTGTAACTGGCCATGAAGGGAAATTTTGTAGAAAAGTGAGGTTACCTGTCCTTTATGAGTGAGCTTAGAAAGTTGGGATGGAATCCCACAGTACTGCCAGCCTTCCTTTTATGGTCCATTTATAGCTATGAGTCATGTATTTAACCTAGATCTTGTCCCTATTTGTATTTTCTTTTTTGAGACAGGATCTCACTCTGTCACCCAGGCTTCAGTGCAGTGGCACAGTCATAGTTCATTGCAGCCTCAACTTTCTGGACTCAAAGTGATCCTCCCACCTCAGCCTCTTAAGTAGCATGTGCCACCATGCCCAATTGACTTTTTTTTTTTCTTTGAGACAGAGCCTTGCTCTGTCACCCAGGCCAGAGTGCAGTGGTAATATGTTAGCTCACTGCAACCCCTGCCTCCCAGATTCAAGCGATTCTCCTGCCTCAGCCCCCCAAGTAGCTGGGATTACAGGTGTCCGCCACCACACTGGGCTAATATTTGTATTTTTAGCAGAGACGGAGTTTCATCATGTTGGCCAGGCTGGTCCGGAACTCCTGACCTCACATGAGCCTGCCTCAACCTCCCAAAGGGCTGGGATTACAGGTGTGAGCCACCATACCCAGCCTCCGATTGATTTTTATATTTTTTGCAAAAACAGGGTCTCACTATGTTGCTCTGGCTGGTCTTGAACTCCTGGACTCAAGTAGTCCTGCCTTCACCTCCCAAAGTGCTGGAACTACAGGCATGAGCCACCATGCCCATGCCCAGTCCCCTGCTCATTTTTTTTTTTTCTTTTGAGACAGAGTCTCCCTCTGTCGCCCAGGCTGGAGTGCAGTGGCATGATCTCAGCTCACTGCAAACCCCGCCTCCTGGGTTCACACCATTCTCCTGCCTCCCCAGTAGCTGGGACTACAGGCACCCGCCACCACGCCCAGCTAATTTTTTGTGTTGTTTAGTAGAGACGGGGTTTCACCATCTTAGCCAGGATGATCTCGCTCTCCACCCGCTTTGGCCTCCCAAAGTGCTGGGATTACATGTGTGAGCCACTGCGCCTGGCCCATAATTTTATCCTATGCCCCAAATACTACATTTCCTGATTTTACTGTCTACTAAATAAAACACATTTTTATATATTACTTTTTTTTTTTTAAGACGGAGTTCCACTCGTGTTGCCCAGGCTGGAGTGCAATGGTGTGATCTTGGCTCACTGCAACCTCCATTTCCCGGGTTTGAGCAATTCTCCTGCCTCAGCCTCCCAAGTAGTTGGGATTACAGGCATGTGCCACCATGCCTGTCTAATTTTCTATTTTTAGTAGAGATGGGATTTCACCATTTTGGTCAGGCTGGTCTCAAATTCCTGACCTCAGGTGATCCACCCACCTTGGCCTCCCAAAGTGCTGGGATTACAGGCATGAGCCACCACACCTGACCATTTTTATATATTTCATACTCTAAAGCATGTTTCTGAATTTTAATTATAGATACGATATATACGTCTGTTTACCCTTTCTCTTTATTTTTTAGATTTTTATTAACATTCTTTCTAAGACTTTATATTTCCAGAGATGTGCTTTTTAATGAAAAGTTTCCCTTTATACCATGTTTATTTCAGTTGTCCTTATTTGTATATTTTCCTACAGTTTATACCTTGTTTCTTAATTCAAAATATCTTACTGTATTTAATGGTTTTTCTTTTTTTTTCCTGATTTTAATTTCTGTATCAAAGTTGGTCTTCATTGATTTTCCTTTTTAGCCTATTTCAGTTCTCATAAATAAGAGAAAAGTCAAATTCTACATTATCCATGGCAAGGAAAAACCATCTGTTAACCTCAGCATGGGGAACAGAGAGGCGTGTTGGACACCATGACTTTCCATTTCTGTTGGCTGCGCCTGGCCACTGCTATCCCAGAATAAAACCTGGAGAGAGACATAGCTCATGCTTATCTGATCTTTGCCTGGTTTCACAGAAAAGCACAGTGGTGAGGTCATTTTGATTTAGAGCCGTTCCCCATCTGATGCCAGGATCCCTTTAACAGTGGTGGAGGAGGTCTAGATGCAGTGTTGAGTTTGATTCCCTCTGTCTTCTCTCGTAGTTTGGCCTGTCACTGCTCCTTATCCTCCTGAGCCGTGGTGAAGACCTACAGAGTTCAGACCCTGCTACAGAATCAACGCAAAATAATCAGTGGTTAGTGTGGACTGTTTCTTCTCTTATTTTAAGTTATTTGAGGTAATCTTTTAAATTTTTGTCTCATAATATTATTATGGGTCTTCCCTGGCAGGACAGAGGTGATGTTCATGGCAACACGAGAACTTCTACGAATTCCCCAAGCAGCCCTGGCCAAGCCAATCTCTATACCTACAAACCTAGTGTCCCTCTTTTCTCGCTATGTTGACCAGCAGAAACTGAACTTGCTGGAGACAAAACTGCAGTAAGTTTGAAACAGGAGAGTTTCACATCTCACTAAAGCTGGGACTTGAGAAGTTATGGTGGGGAGGCTGGGAGTGGTGGCTCACACCTGTAATCCTAGCAGTTTAGGACACCCAGGAGGGTGGATCACTTGAGGCCAGGAGTTCCAGACCAGCCTGACCAAAATGGTGAAACCCTGTCTACTAAAAAAAATACAAAAATTAGCCAGGTGTGGTGGTGCATGCCTGTAATCCCAGCTATTCAGTAGGCTGAGGTATGAAAATCATTTAAACCCAGGAGGCAGAGATTGCAGTGAGCTGAGATCGCGCCATTGCACTACAGCCTGGGTGACAGAGCAAGACCCTGTCTCAAAAAAATAAGTAAATAAAAAGAAGGTATGATTGGGGTGAAGGGGGGAATACTGAATTTGGTGGAAGAGATTGATTTTTTATTAACTATTTGTGTCTATCTGTTAGATATAAAACACTGAACTGGGTACGACAGGGCCTTCATAAAAGATGACTAAATGCTAAGAGTAGAGAAGTATCTCGGGTGTTTTGTTATGAGAAGTCTTACAAAGATGTAACTGTAATATGAAAGATTGCCTTTTGTTTTAACTCATTTATACAATTTTCCTTTCTCTCCTTTTACCCCTAGGCTAGTTCAGGGGATACGATAAAAGATCTCCAAATGTGTCCTGTACCTCCTTTTGGCTGTCACCTGCACTGCTGCCATCACCAATGGAGTGTTTTTAATGAGGGAGGGAAGGTAGCTTTTTCCCCAAAGCAAAGTCTTGTGGGATCGATTCCTGTTTACAGGGGTTGTCTCTCTAAATGTCAGATATTTCCCCCCTGCTCTATGAAATTTGGCTGGGTGATACTTCTGCTGGTTTCTTCTTTACCTTCTATGTTACAGTTCTGCATGTCCTACTTTTACTCAGTTCTCAATTTTGCATTTTCTTTGCCCTAGAGACACAAGTGTAATCTCTCCCTTTATCCCACCACTACTCCAGCTCAGAGTAGATTGTAGCCTGCCAAAGGATTCCTTCCCTCATCCTATTGAAGTTGTTTTTTCATTGCCCCATATTAATATGACTATAGAAGAGCCAATTAAGTAGAAATCAAGATATACACACACACGTAGATACACACACACACCCCATAAATGTATTTATGTGGTCTTCAGAGGGTCCTTAAAGAATGAATTTTAGATTGAAAAATATTTAGTTGTCTCATTACTTCCTCTAAACACAAACCAGCTGATGTATTTTAATCTGTTTCTGTTCTATCTTGTAATTAATTTGGTGGGTTCTACTTGTTTTAACATAAATAAAGAGTATGTAGCACGTTTAATAAAATCAGAACTCTTAATTGGCTTATGCCCAAATCTAGGCTGAGAAGTCCTTTTTCTTCTTCCCACCTTTATTTCCTTAGTTTCTGTCCACCTTAATGGAAATAGCACATGGTTATGTCTTTTTCCTGCTACAACTACAGTGTACTTGAGCCTTTCCCTCAAGTGCATTTGAAGTCACCCAGGATGGTCCTCACTAGTAGCCTGCTTTGGCAGTGTGGCTTTTTGCACACTTGTCCTGTCTTCCAGAGACTACTTCAGTAAGCCATGCTTCCTTCTTCCCCACTTTTATTTGGTGTCATGAATAGAAACTTCCAGCTGTAACCATGGAAGCTCAGTTTGGCCTGTTTTACTTTTTAGTCTCCACACCATGGGCAGAACTGCTTTCCTTACTACTTCATCTCACCCAGGTCCCGTTCCCAGGCAGTCAGGGGCCTGGGTTTGAATAATTGCAGGGCCAGCCTGCCATGATCTTTCTCACTTACTCCTCTCCCATTCAGCAATCAACCAGACTAAGGAGTTTTGATCCCTAGTGATTACAGCCCTGAAGAAAATTAAATCTGAATTAATTTTACATGGCCTTCCTGATCTTTCTGCTGTTCTTACCTTTTCGAATGTAGTTGGGGGGTGGGGGGGCAGGTTATGATATTTAAAGAGAATAAACATTTTGCACATACATGTATTGTACAACAGTAAGATCCTCTGTTAAAACCAGCTGTCCTTGTTCTCCATCTCCATTTCTTCCCATGCTGTAACCCCAGGCTCCACCAGCTGTTCCCCAGTGACGTTACCTAGCTTCCCTCTACCGTTACCTACTGACCATTTCCACTACACGCCTTTCCTACCTTCCCTTCACAACCAATCAAGTGAATACTTGATTATTATCTCTTCCTTACTGTGCTTTATCTTTTTTGTTTTGTTCTAATTAATGAAAATAAAAGTTTCTAAATTTACATTTTTATAGGGTATTGTAAATAAAAACAAATTGTATACTTAAAAATGAGTGCCTGCATTTCTACTTTGTTACCTCAGAATATGATTTTTATGTGTCTAGCATATTTAGATAGACTGGCAACTTGATGTTGGAGATTAAAGATATTATTACCTATATTTTTACCTTTTTAATTTTGTTGCAAAGAAGACAAATATTTTTATATAGTAACTTTTCTTTAAAAATCTAAGATGCTTTCAGTTTCTCCTCCCCCCATTTTAACTATACGACAAAATTATAAATTGTAGTAGATAAACTGTAGTTTGTGTTCTCCATCCTGCCCATCTCTGGGCACTGAGGAATCTGTCCCCCTTTAAGAGACTCATGTAGCCCAATGAGGCATTCAGCTGCCTTCATGGATAGTATGTACTTAGTTCTGAGCATATTGTATTTCAAAATTCATCTCTTCAAAGGAGATGGGAAAAGGTTGGTCATTCTTTATAGTAAATTTATTTTTATTATTTCAGACTTGAGTATAATTTTTACTCTAAAATGCTTAGGATAAAAGATTCAGCAAACACATAGAAAGGGGCAAAAAAAGTGGGGTTTTGTTTTCAAGACATGGTCTCTGTTGCTCAGGCTGGAGTGCAGTGGCACAGTAGCACAATCACCACTCACAGCAGCCTCAATCTCCCAGGCTCAAGCGATCCGCCTCAGCCTCCCGAGTAACTGGGACTACAGGTGTGCACCACCACACCTGGCTAATTTTTACACTTTTTTGTAGAGTCGAGATCTCCCTATGTTGCCCAGGCTGGTCTCAAACTCCCAGGCTCAAGTGATCCTCCCACCTTGGCCCCCCAAAATGCTGGGAGTACAGGTGTGAATCACTGCACACAGCCTGAAGGTTTTTTCTTTTTTTGAGACGAGTTTCTCTGTCACCCAGGTTACAGTGCAGTGACACAATCATGGCTCACTGCAGCCTCTACCTCCCAGGCTCAAGCAGTTCTCCCACCTCAGCCTCCCAAGTAGCTGGGACTACTATAGGTGGGTGCCATCATGCCCAGCTAATTTTTTTGATTTTTAGTAGAGATGAGGTCTTGCTACATTGCCCAGGCTGGGCTCAAACCCCTGGCTCAAGGGATTCTCCTGCCTTGGCCTCCCAAAATGCTGGATTACAGGAGTGAGCCTCCAAAGTTTTAAATGATAAAGAGACAGGAGATCATTTAACATTATGAGGTGCCTACCTATATAAAGCTTTTTTTTTTTTTTTTTCCCCGATGAGGAGATGGGTTCTTTGAGGTTCAGCAGTAGCTTGCGGAGGTGACACAGGTAATGGGCAGCAGAGCAGGAGACTCATACAGCATATTATTGCTATAAGGAAATAAAATTATCTTCCAGTAAAAGATTTATTCACACCTTTTAACATGAAACAACACAAGGTGTTAATAGATAGCCCCGCTTTGTTAGACTGGACTGGCCCAAAGATGCCCCTACCTTCACAGTAGACTAGATTCCAAAAGTCAGACGTGAAGAAATCCCTAGAGATCATGTAGTTCAGTCCTCACAATTTGAGGAAGCCAGATCTCTGAGAGAGCAGTGACTTGCCCAAGGGGCCACAGCTGGCTAGTAGTAAAGCCAAGAAAAAAAACTCATGTGAGGCCAGGTGCAGTGGCTCATGCGTGTAATCCCAGCACTTTGGGAGGCCAAGGCAGGCAGATCACCTGAGGTCAGGAGTTTGAGACCAGCTTGGCCAACATGGTGAAAACCTGTCTCTCCTAAAATTACAAAATTAGCTGGGCATAGTGGCACATGCCTATAATCCCAGCTACTCGGGAGGCTGAGGCAGGAGAATCACTTGAACCCGGGAGGCAGAGGTTGCAGCGAGCTGAGATTGCACCACTACATTCCAGCCTGGGGAACAAGAGCGAAACTCCATCTCAGTCTCAAAAAAAAAAAGAAAAGAAAAGAAAAATTTATACATGGGATTTTACTGTGTTGCCCAGGCTGGTCTTGAACTACTGGGTTCAAGTGATTCTCCCGCCTTGGGTTCCCAAAGTGTTGGGATTACAGGCATGAGCCACTGTGCCTGGTCACAAATGACTTTTAAAAGTCATGAGCCACCACGCCTGGTTCTGGGCAACATAGTAAAATCCCATGTACAATTTTTTTTATTATTTCTTTTTTTTTTTTTTTTTTTGAGACGGAGTCTCGCTCTGTCACCCAGGCTGGAGTGCAGTGGCCGGATCTCAGCTCACTGCAAGCTCCGCCACCCGGGTTCACGCCATTCTCCTGCCTCAGCCTCCCGAGTAGCTGGGACTACAGGCGCCTGCCACCTCGCCCGGCTAAGTTTTTGTATTTTTAGTAGAGACGGGGTTTCACTGTGTTACCCAGGATAGTCTCGATCTCCTGACCTCGTGATCCGCCCGTCTCGGCCTCCCAAAGTGCTGGGATTACAGGCTTGAGCCACCGCGCCCGGCCTTATTATTATTTCTTAAAAAGCTGTTTGTAAACCTCAGAGTAACTAATGAGGACAATATTAACTTCAAAAAAAATTTAGTGATGCACTAAAATAATCTACAAGAATAAGACACAGAGTTGAAAACTGATACTAATGCAAGTAATATCCTGTGTAAGAAAAAGAAGACCCTGATAAATACATAGGTAATTAACCCTAATGGGTAAATAGGTACAACCTTGTGAATAATCATTCACAAAATAAAGTACAAGTGAATAATATTAAGAACCTCACCCCCACTGGTAAACAGAGAAGTAAAAAGTAAATGTTTTTAACCTACCGAGTTAATAAACACTTTAAAAATAATGTTAGTGAGAATTTGGGGCTGCCACTCACTGGCGGGGGTAAATGTCTACCTTTCTGGAAAGTGCTTTCACCGTGTGGAGCACTTAAAAGTATTCTTAGCCTTTGAACAATGACTTTGGCTTTATAAATCTAAGGAAATATAACAAAGCAATGGTACTTACCACAGCTTTACTTATTTTATTTTTGAAGACAAGCTCTCGCTTTGTTGCCCAGGCTTTAGGGCAGTGGTGCAATCGTAGCTCACTGCAGCCTTGAACTCCTGGCCTCAAGCAATCCTTCCACTCCAGCCTCACGAGTGGCTGGGACTACAGACACATGCCACCTTGCCCAGCTAATTATTTTAGTTTTTGTAGAGACTCTGTTACCCAGGCTGGTCTCAAACTTGCCTTGGTCTCCCAAATGATTCATTAGAGGCATGAGCTATTTCACCCAGTCAGCTTTACTTATAATAGAAAAATTAGAAATAATCTAAATGTTCAACATTACAATAATGATTAAGTAAACAATGATCCATGTGTTGTATTGGACTAGGTGCAGTGGCTCATGCTTGTAATCCCAGCACTTTGGGAGGGTAGACTTTGCAAGACTTTGCAAAAACATTTAAAAATCAGCCAGGCATGGTGGCATGTGCCTGTACTCTCAGCTAACTCAGGAGGCTGAGGCAGGATTGCCTGAGCCCAGGAGTACGAGGCTGTAATGAGATTCAGCCTGGGAGACCGAGCAAGACTCTGTCTAGAAAAATTTAAGCTGGGCGCGGTGGCTCAAGCCTGTAATCCCAGCACTTTGGGAGGCCGAGGCGGGCAGATCACAAGGTCAGGAGATCGAGACCACAGTGAAACCCCGTCTCTACTAAAAATACAAAAAATTAGCCGGGCGCGGTGGCGGGCGCCTGTAGTCCTAGCTACTCAGGAGGCTGAGGCAGGAGAATGGCGTGAACCCAGGAGGCGGAGCTTGCAGTGAGCCGAGATCGCGCCACTGCACTCCAGCCTGGGCAACAGCGTGAGACTCCGTCTCAAAAAAAAAAAAAAAAAAGAAAAATTTAAAAAGGCAGAATATTTAATCATGGAAAATATTTGATATAGTATGGTGAAAAACCATATATATGCTTTGAATCCAATTTTTAACAAAAATGCATGTATGAAGAAAATATTGGAAAGATATGTTTCTAAAGATTACTGGTATCTGTAGGTGATGGGATTATGGAGAACTTTCTTTTCCTTTTGGCTTCTTGATAATTTTCAAGTTTTCTATAGAGAAAATGTATTGCTTATGTTCTTAGAAGAAAAAATGTTTTTAAAGAAAAAGTTGTTTTTGAAGAATTTAGTTACATAGGAAAATGTAAGAATATAATGTTAAGTAAAAAATAGGTTCTGTATATGTACATGACAATCTCTGTGGAGTAAAAAATATATGGGAGGCTGGGCGTGGTGACTCACGCCTGTAATTCTAGCACTTTGGGAAGCCAAGGCAGGCAGATCACTTGAGATCAGTAGTTCGAGACCAGCCTGGCCAATATGGCAAAACCTCGTCTCTACTAAAAATACAAAAATTAGCTGGGTGTGGTGGTGTGCACCTTTAATCCCAGCTACTCGGGAGGCTGAGGCTGGATAATCGCTTGAACCCAGGAGGTGGAGGTTGCAGTGAGCCAAGATTGTGCCACTGACCTCCAGGTTGGGCAACAGAGTGATACCCCGTCTCTCTCTCTCTCTCTGTCTATCTATCTATATGTTTTATATTTTTTACATATATATGTCTATATCTATATGTATGTATATATATCTCCATATATATACACATATATATATATGGGTGAGAAGAGTGAAATCAAAGATGATCAAATAGTGGTTGCCTTTAAGGAAACGGGCTGTGGAGGATTTTGTGAGTAGGTGATTGTTCCTGCTTTTTCATATTTTCCCAATTTGTCTTCAATGAGCATGTATCATAACCTTAAAAGGGGGATATTATCTTAAAACTGCTAAAGATAGGCTGGGCGTGGTGGCTCACGCCTGTAATCCCAGCACTTTGGGAGGCTCAGGCAGGCGGATCACCTGAGGTAGGGAGTTTCAGACCAGCTTGGCCAGCATGGTGAAACCCTGTCTCTACTAAAAATACAAAAATTAGCCGGGCGTGGTGGCACATGCCTGTAATCCCAGCTACTCGGGAAGCTGAGGCAGGATAATCGCTTGAACCTGAGAGGCAGAGGTTGTGGTGAGTGGAGATCGCGCCATTGCACTCCAGCCTGGGCAACAGAGCGAGACTCTGTCTCAAAAAACAAAAACAAAAACAAAACAAACAAACAAACAAAACACTGCTAAAGATAGTAGCTATTTCTCGTTAAAAAATAAGTCCTAACTTTTTAATGATCACCATTCTGACTGGCATGAGATGGTATCTCATTTTAATTTTGATTTGCATTTCTCTAACGACCAGTGATGATGAGCATTTTTTTTTTTAGACGGAGTTTCCCTCTTGTTGCCCAGGCTGGAGTGCAATGCACGATCTCAGCTCACCACAACCTCCACCTCCTGGGTTCAAGCAATTCTCCTGTTTCAGCCTTCTGAGGCATGAGCTACCACGCCCAGCTAATTTTGTATTTTTAGTAGAGACGGGGTTTCGCCATGTTGGCCAGGATATTCTCGATTTCCTGACCTTGTGATCTGCCCGCCTCAGCCTCCCAAAGTGCTGGGATTACAGGCGTGAGCCTCCGCACCTGACCTCTACTATAAACATTTAAGATGATATACCAAGTGGGGGATCAAAGAACCACTTTAACAAATCCCCAAATATAGCTTCCATATTTAAATTGCATTTTTTCCAAACTGTGGCTGTTAAATCGCCCAAATTGCCCTGCTAAACATTAGGAAGGACAAGACATGACTTTCTGAAATTTTTATTTTTTTTTGAGACAGAATCTCACCCTGTCGCCCAAGCTGGAGTGCAGTGGCACGATCTTGGTTCACTCCAACCTCTGTGCCTCCTGGGCTCAAGTGATTCTCCTGCCTCAGCCTCTTGAGTAGCTGGGATTACAGCTACTGAGATTACGCCCAGCTAATTTTTGCATTTTTAGCAGAGATGGGCTTTCACCATGTTGGACAGGCTGGCTTCGAATTCCTGACCTCAAGTGATCCGCCCGCCTTGGCCTCCCAAAATGCTGGGAATACAGGCATGAGCCAGTGAGCCTGGCCAACTTTCCGAATTTGACGGCCGTCTACTTTTGGGGGGCCGTGAAGTTCTTTGTGTGAGAAGCAGAACTGGGAAGACTGAAGGGGTCTTATATTTTTCCTCCTCTCCCAGCTATGCTTAAATACATTTAATATTGTGGTCCCTGAGAACTTAGCATGTGGGTTTTTAGGAAACAAGTCTGGGTCTGGGAAATCAGTATCTTAAAATCACCTAATAGCATTTTGACCTTCTTCCTTCTTGCATCAGAAACACAGTTGTGAATAGATTGCAGGTCTCATGACAGCCTCTACTTTGCTTCTTATTTTGCAAATGTTGCACGTAAGGCTGTTCTGAGGAGCTCGTTTGTTATTCAACATGACTCTCCAAGCTCTCAGTTCAGCCAAGTTCATTCTCCAAAGCAATATTAACCAAAATCAGACCTGAGATCTGTGAAATACCTAGCAGGGAGCTAGGTCATCAGTGACACATGTACTTTGCCAGTTGTGAATATAAAATTTGTTAAATTACTTAGATTGCCCTACTCTAACAAATGAGAAACAAATCTGCATATAACTAACAAAAGGAAGGTTTCTCAAATTTGACCCCCCAGAAAAAACACTGCTAACAGTTTAGTGTATTATTCTCCAAGTGATGTCTGCATGCACATGCATACATACATAGAATTATAGTTTTACTTTTTTCTCTCTTAATATATCATGGGCATCTTTCTGTGTTGGTATATAGAGAGCTACCCTGTTCTTTTCTTTTTGATACAGGGTCTTGCTCTGTTGCCCAGGCTGGAGTCCAGTGGTGTGGTCGTGTCTCACTAGACCCGCAACCTCCACCTCAGCCTCCTGAATAGCTGGGAGAATAGGTGTGCACCACCATGCCTGGCTAATTATTTTATTTTTTGCAGAGACAAGGTCTTGCTTGTTGCCCAGGCTGGTCTCAAACTCCTGGGCTCATTCAGTCCTCCCAACTTGGCCTCCCAAAGTGCTGGGACTACAGGCGTGAGCCACTGTACCCAGTCCCCCGTTCTTTTTCATAGTTGTATAGTATTCCACTGTGTACCATTATGCCATCATTTATCTGATTGTTCTCCTGTTAATAGGATTCAACCTTCAAATACTTTTTTTCAGTTACGGTTGTTCATCTAACAGTAACAAAGGTAAACTCACAATGTCACATTTCTATAGTTATTTTGTAGTGTACAAAGAACACATTCGTATTCCAATTCAGTCTTCTCTATAACCTTTTGAAATAGGATGGGCAACTATAATTGTACGGTACCAAAACTAGATCAGCAAGACCTTCCAGCTGGTAAGGACTAAAACTGGGATTTAAACCTTAAGTTTTGAGCTCCATTTCTAGTGTCTTGGCTGCAAGAAGGCTCCTATTCCTGGACCCGTGCTTTGGAGGAGCAGCTGAAAAGCTGCAAGGCTTTAACATTGCATCTGCAAACTCTTCTGACTGGATTTTAATGCCTTCATTTTCGGTAAGCACATTAGGCAATTGCCTCTCAGTAATGTCAAAAAGGGAGCAATTCAGGTTGTAATTATCAGGACCAACTGCAATATATAAGGATCAGAGTCACAGCGATGCAGCTGTCAGGCATCTTTATGGTCTTTTTTATTTAAACATCATCTCGGGAGGGCAAAAAAAAGACTCCTTGCTTCCACTCTTCCTCATTCCCAGTATTTTAGAATGTACTTTTTACATTAGATATATTGTCACAGCAATTGGTTTTTTCATAAATTCTCTGCATTAATATGGGAGCTTCACAAATACAGAAATAGTCTATCTTGTTCACAGCTCCACAAGCCCAGCACAAAGTCAACACCTAGCAGGCATCCAACAAATACCTGGTCATGAAATAGTTTTGTTATTAAGAAACAAAGCTGGCCAGGCCCAGTGGCTCACACCTGTAATCCCATCACCTGTAATCCCAACTTAAAATTCAAAGCTGGGCACAGTGTCTCATATTTGTAATCCCAGCACTCTGGGAGAGTTAGGTGGGCAGATCACTTGAGATCAGGAGTTTGAGACCACCCTGACCAATATAGTGAAACCCTGTCTCTACTAAAAATACAAAAATTAGCCAGGTATGGTGGCTTGTGCCTGTAGTCTCAGCTACTTAAGAGACTGAGGCAGGAGAATCGCTTGTACCCGGGAGGCAGAGGATGCAGTAAGCTGAGATTACGCCACTGCACTCCAGCCTGGGCAACAGAGCAAGACTCCGTTTCAAAAAAAAAAAAAGAAAGAAAGAAAGAAAAAAAGCTTAGCTGGGTGCAGTGGCTTACCCTTGTAATCCCAGCACTTTGGGAGGTTGAGGCAGGAGGATCACTTGAGCCCAGGAGCTCAAGACCAGACTGGGAAACATAGCGAGACCCCCATCTCTACAAAATTTTTTAAAAAATTAGCCAGGCATGGTGGCCATGCCTATAGTCCCAGCTACTTGGGAGGCTGAGGTGGGAGGATCACTTGAGCCCAGGAAGTTGATGCTGCAGTGAGCTGTGATTGTTCCACTGCACTCTAGCTGACAAATGAGACCCTATCTCACAAAAACAAAGGAAGGAAGGAATGCAGGGGAGGGGAGAATAGGGGAGGGGAGGGAAAGGGAGGGGAGGAGAGGGGGTGGGAGAAGGGAGGAAAAGAGGGGAGGAGAGGGGAAGGGAGAGGAGAAGGCTGGGCATGGTGGCTCACACCTGTAATCCCAGCACTTTGGGAGGCCAATGTGGGTGGATCATATGAGGTCAGGAGTTCGAGACCAGCCCGCCAACATGCTGAAAACCCATCTCTACTAAAAAGATAAAAAATTAGCTGGACATGGTGGCAGCACCTGTAATCCCAGCTACTTGGGAGGCTGAGGCAGGAGAATCGCTTGAGCCTGGGAAGTGGAGGTTGCAGTGAGCCGAGATCGTGCCACTGCACTTCAGCCTGGGTGACAGAGTGAGACCCTGTCTCAAAAAAAAAAAAAAAGAAAAGAAAAAAGAAAAAGAAAGAAGCAAACAAACAAAGCTTAAACAAAGCTTAAAGAGATTATTCAGAGAATAGAGCTCGATGTAATAAATTAATCTCTGTGTACAAGACTCATTTCAAAATACATTGTCACTCATGTTATCACAACAACCCCTAGATCAGGAACAATTGGATAACATAAGTCAGTTAAGCTCTTGTACGTCCCACATGACTCCAGATACAGTGGTGACAAAGACAAACTAAACCCCTATTCTGGTACAGTTTGCATTCTGAGGGGGATACTTACAATGATAAGTGCTAAGAAAAGAACAAAGTGATTCGAGTGGGGGAGATGTACTTGTACTGTAGAGAGAGTAGCCAGGAAGGCCTCGATAAGCAGGTGACATTCAAGCAGACATCTGAATAATGAGAAGAGACAGATATGCAAAGGTCTAGGAAGAGCACCCCAAGCAAAATCAAGCAGGTAGCCAAGCCCCTGAGATGAAAATGAGTTGGAGTTCAAGGAACCACAGAAAGTCAATGTCACTAGAGTGAATGGAGTGGGGCAGAGAGTGACCACGCAGGGTCTTGAAGGGATTTATTGTTATTGCAATGGGAAATCTTTGCAGAGTTTTAAGTAAAAAACACAAAACGTCATATAACTTATACTTTTAAAAATCACTCTGCTGTATGGAGATGGAAATAAACAAAAAAAGGGAGCACTTATCAGAGAGCCTCGTATTGTCACTGGTCTACAGGATGAATCTGGGCCTTTAAAAGGCAAAGTGACTGAGAGAATAATTTTTTTAAACATAGATTTAGCAACAAGCAAAAAACAAATATTCCAATTTAAAAATGGGCAAAGGACATGAACAGATACTTCTCAAAAGACGACAGAAAAATGGCCAAAAAACATGAAAAAATGCTCATCATCACTAATCATCAGAGAAATGTAAATCAAAACCACAATGAGGTACCATCTCAAACCAGTCAAAATGACTATTATTTAAAAGTGAAAAAAAATAACAGATGCTGGCGAGGCTGTGGAATGCTTATACCCTGCTGGTGGGAATGCAAATTAGTTCAGCCACTGTGGAATGCAGTTTGGAGATTTCTCAGAGAACTTAAAATGGAATTACCATCTGACCCAGCAATTCCATTACTGGGTATATACCCAAAGGAATATAAATCATTCTACCAAAATGATACATGCACACATATGTTCATCTCAGCACTACTCACAATAGCAAAGGCATGGAATCAACCTAGGTCCCCATCAACAATGGTGGATTGGATAAATAAAATGTGGTGCATATACACCATGGAATACTACACAGCCATAAAAAAGAGCAATATGATATCCTTTGCAGGAACATGGATGCAGCTAGAGGCCATTGTCCTAAGTGAGTTAATGCAGAAACAGAAAACCAAATACTGCATGCTCTCACTTATAAGTGGGAGCTAAACAATGAGTATACATGGGCATAAAATTGGAACACTAGACACTGGGGACTTCCAAAAGTGGGGGGAGGGGTGGACATGGGCTGAAAAACTATTGGATACTATGCTCACCACCTGGGTGACAGGATCATCTATACCCCAGACCTCAAAATCACATAACACACCTGTAAAAAACCTGCACATCTGAATCCAAAATGAAAGTTGGAAAAAAAATACATTTAAGACAACAGTTACTTTTGGAAGTCTTTAGGGGAGTGGTATTGGGATAGGATGTAGAAAACTGGTCATTTTGTATTTCTTATGCTGAGTGGTGCATTGAGCAGTATTGGTTTGACTATTGTGCTTTGTAACTTTCACATATCATATGTATCCTGTGTATGTTATGGGCTAAATTGTGTCCACCCCCAAAAGTCTTATGTTGAAGTCCTAATCCCCATACCTCAGAATGTCACTCTATTTGAAAATAGGTTCTTTAAAGAGTTAATTAAGTTAAAATGTAATAGGCTTATGTTTGAAGGAAGGAAGAAAAGAAGGGAGAGAGAATATGTACATGTGTCCAAGATTGCAGTGAGTGAGTGGCAGACAAAGAAAACCTGATTACAATCATTTTCCACCATTTCTCTATCCCGCAAAGAATAAGTAGACATGTTGTGTGTGACTTCCAACAATTCTCCCTAAGGGGAAGGCACTACACTTTTGTCCTCTTTCCTTCCCTCTTCTTGCTGCTTAGAATGCAGATGTAACAACTGAAGCTCTAGCAGCCACCCTGGGGCAAAAGGTAATAACAGAAACAACATAAAATGGGGAGAAAGAAGTCTGTGTCTGGCCAGGCAAGGTGGCTCAGGCCTGTAGTCCCAGCACTTTGGGAGGCCAAAGCAGGTGGATCACTGGAGCCCAGGAGTTCAGGACAAGCCTGGGCAACATAGCAAGACCCCATCTCTACTAAAAATACAAAAAAAAAAATAGCCATGAGGCTGAGGTGGGAGGATCCCTTGAGACTGGGAGGTCGAGGCTGCAGTGAGCCAAGATTGAACCACTGCACTCCAGCCTGAGTGACAGAGTGTGACCCTGGCTCAAAAAAAAAGAAGAGTCTATGTCTCTGAAGACTTCATTTGAGTCACCATTCCAACCTCCAAATTTTTTTTGAATTTAATTTAGTTTTATTTTATTTTGCTTTATTTTGAGATGGGATCTCACTTTGCCGCCCAGGCTGGAGTGCAGTGGTGCAATCTCAGCTCACTGCACCCTCCACTTCCCAGGTTCAAGCCATCCTCTCACCTCAGCCTCCCAAGTATCTGAGACCATAGGCACGTGCCACCATGCTTGGCTAATTTTTTTTTTTGAAATCGAGTCTCACTCTATTGGCCAGGCTGGAGTGCAATGGCACGATCTCAGCTCACTGCAACCTCCACCTTCCAGGTTCAAGCAATTCTCCTGCCTCAGCCTCCTGAGTAGCTGGGATTACAGGCACCCACCACTGTGCCCAGCTAATTTTTTTATTTTTAGTAGAGACGGGGTTTCACCATGTTGGCCAGGTTGGTCTTGAACTCCTGACCTCAGGTAATCCGCCTGCCTCAGTCTCCCAAAGTGCTGGGATTACAAAGGTGAAACACTGTGCCCACCCTTGAATTTTAAGTTATGACAAATTCTAGGGAATTCTAGAAGCTCTAGCAGCCACCTTAGGGCAAAAGGTAATAAACAATATACAAAGGAGGAGAAAGAAGTCTATGTCTGGCCAGGCATGGTGGCTCAGGCCTGTGGTCCTAGCACTTTGGGAGCCTGCATTTTCTCTGTGAAGTGCAAAGCATGATTATCAGTTGTGAAACAGAAGGGTTTCTGTGACATTTGGTTTAATTTTCATGACAGAAAATATAATACATCTCGACTCCTAACTTATTTGGATTGTTTTGTTTGTTTTGAGACGAGGTCTCACTCTGTCGCCCAGGCTGGAGTGCAGTGGCATGATCTTGGCTCACTGCTGCCTCCATCTACCAGGCTCAAGAGAGCCTCCCCCAGCCTCCTGAGTAGCTGGGACCACAGGCATGAGCTACCACACTTGGCTAATGTTTTGTATCTTTGGTATAGACGGGGTTTCGCCATGTTGCCCAGGCTGAGCTCAAGTGATCTGCCTACCTCAGCCTCCCAAAATTCTGGGATTACAGGCATGAGACATTGCACCCGGCACCTCAAATTGTTGTTGTTTTAAAAATGATTCCAAGGCACAAGTAATATTAGGGACTATAGCCCTATTCATATCTGTGTTTGAGTGTTAGCTTCACCTTTGCAAGTTACTTTATTCATGAATCTCAGTTTCTCTCCCTGTAAAAGGGGAGATAGAACAAGTGGGATTATGACAAAAAATTGATATTTGTGAAAGTGCTTAACACTCAATAAAAGCTGGCATGCCTTCATTATATTAATCCATTTTAACCTCACATAAAGTCCCAGTATTTCCGGGTTTTTCTATGGTACGTCTAATGCCCTCAAGAAAGACGTGTGGGTCCCCTTAGGGTTAGTTACATTGTGCTACAAAGATAGTCTTGCATAATTAGTAATTACAGTCAGCATTTATGATTTACCATATGCCAGACACATTTCATGTATTTTTATTTAATCCTTTCCCAAAACTTTGAGAACAGATGCTGTTAGTATGGTCATAAGGAAACTGGTGAGAGGTTAAGTAAACAGTCCAAGATTGCATCACTTAGTCAAAACAGGATTTGAAGTGAGGTGGTCAAGATCAGTGGTACATCTATATAATGCAATACATAGAGGAAACTTAAATGCATACTACTAAGTGAAAGAAGCCAATTTTATTTTATTTTATTTTATTTATTTTTAAAAATGGAGTCTCGCTCTGTCGCCCAGGCTGGAGTGCAGTGGAATGATCTCGGCTCACTGCAACCTCCCCTTCCCGGGTTCAAGCGATTCTCCTGCCTCAGCCTCCTGAGTAGCTGGGACTATAGGCATGCACCACCATGCCCAGCTAATTTTTGTATTTTCAGTAGAGATGGGGTTTCACCACGTTGGCCAGGATGGTCTCAATCTCTTCACCTTGTGATCAGCCTGCCTCAGCCTCCCAAAGTGCTGGGATTACGGGCGTGAGCCACTGCGCCCGGCAAGAAGCCAATTTTTAAAAGATTTCTTTTCAAACTACAGTCAGCCCTCCATATCTGTGGGTTCTGCATTCATGAATTCAACCAAGGATCAAAAATATTCTCCCAAAAAGAGATGCTTGTGCCTGTACTGAACATGTACAGACTTTTTTCCTGTCATTATTCCCTAAACAATACAGGATAACAACTATTTACATAGCATTTATATTGTATTGGGTATTAGAAGTAATCTAGAGATAATTTGAAGCATAAGAGAAAATGTGTATAGGTTATATGCAAATACTATACTATTTTGTATAACAGACTTGACCATCTGTGGATTTGGGTATTTGCAGAGAATCTTGGAACCAATTCCCCATGGATACTGAAAGACAACTGTATGTGTGTGATTCAAACTATATGACATTCTGGAAAAGGCATAACTATGAAGACAGTAGAAAGATCACTGGTTGCCAAGAGTTAAGGAAAAAGGAGGATGAAGAAGTGGAGCAGAGAGGTTTTTCCGGACAATAAAACTAATCTGTATGATATTATAATCCTGGATAAATGTCATTATACATTGTCAAAACCCATAGAACGTACAATGCCAAATAAACTCTAATATAAACTATAGGTTTGGGGTAGATAATGATGTGTCAGGCCGGGCACGGTGGCTCAAGCCTGTAATCCCTGCACTTTGGGAGGCCGAGACGGGCGGATCACGAGGTCAGGAGATCGAGACCATCCTGGCTAACATGGTGAAACCCCGTCTCTACTAAAAAATACAAAAAACTAGCCGAGCGCGGTGGCGGGCGCCTGTAGTCCCGGCTACTCGGGAGGCTGAGGCAGGAGAATCGCTTGAACCCGGGAGGCGGAGCTTGCAGTGAGCTGAGATCTGGCCACTGCACTCCGGCCTGGGCGACAGAGTGAGACTCCGTCTCAAAAAAAAAAAAAAAAAGATAATGATGTGTCAGTGTAGATTCATCAATTTTAACAGTTATGCCACTCTGGATGTTGATAGTAGGAGAGGCTGTGCATGGAATTTTATAATTTCAGCTCAATTTTGCTGTGAATCTAAAACTGCTCTAAAAAAACATAGAGTCTATGTAAAAAAATCATGAAAGCAAAAATGTCCAATATTTTGGTGTCTGGCAGGTAAACCAGTATGGACTGAAAAGAGTTGTAAAAAGTGGGACAGGAAAGCAAGATTAGGACCTGGTAGGGAAGGGCCTTAGATGGCAGAGTGAGCTATCAGGACTTTATCCTATAGACCAGAGGGGGGTCATTGAGGATTACGGAGCAAGAAACTCAGTTAAGAACAGACTATTTTAAGAAAATCCAACTGGGCGTGGTGGCTCACGCCTGTAATGCCAGCACTTTGGGAGGCTGAGGCAGGCAGATCGCTTGAGCTCAGGAATGCAAGATCATCCTGGGCAACATGGCAAAAACCTGTCTCTACAAAAAATACAAAAATTAGCAGAGCGTGGTGGCATGCACTTGTGGTCCCGGCTACTTGGAAGGCTGAGGCACAAGAATCACTTGAACCAAGGAGGCAGAGGTTGCAGTGAGTCAAGATTGTGCCACTGCACTCCAACCTGGGTGACAGAGAGAGACCCTGTACCAAAAAAAAAAAAAAAAAAAAAAAAGATCCCTTTGGCAGTTGTGAGGAGAATTCTGGAAGATAGACTAAAGGCAAATAGACGAGTTTAAAAGTGAGAAGAATGCACAAGAATCTAGGCCAGTAAAGAAAGGGGTGCATAAAAGATCATCCAGTTTTTTGTTACTGACTGGACATAGGGATAAGAACAATGACTTCATGAGAAAAATAAAACACCAATTTTTAAAAGTTGTAATTATTTCACATATTAAGCATTAACTGAATCACTATCATGTGCCCAGTCCTATCAGTTATATCTCCAAATATATCTGGAATGTATCCACTTCTCTCCATTCCTGTTTCCATCACATTCAACCAAGTCATCAATATTTCTCTTCTAAAAGATGGTAGAAGGCCAGGCATGGTGGCTCAGGTCCATAATCCCAGCACTTTAGGAGGCCGAGGCGGGCGGATCACGTGAGGTCAGGAGTTCCAGACCAGCCTGGCCAACATAGTGAAACCCCTTCTCTACTAAAAATACAAAAAAATTAGCCGGGCATGCGGGTGGGTGCCGGTAATCCCAGTTACTTGGAAGGCTGAGGCAGAAGAATTGCTTGAACCTGGGAGGTGGAGGTTGCAGTGAGCTGAGATGGCGCCAGTGCACTCCAGCCCGGGCAATAGTGCGAGACTCCATCTCAAAAAAAAAAGATGGTAGAAGTTTCCTAATTGTTGTCCCTCTCCACTCTTGTGACTCCACACATCAGCCAGTGATCATTTTAAACAAGAATTGAGGCCAGGCATGGTGGCTCCACTCCCAACACTGCGAGGCTGAGGCGGGAGGATCATTTGAGGCCAGGAGTTTGAGACCAGCCTGGGTAACATAGCAAGACCCTGTCTCTACAAAAAATAAAAATTATCTAGGCAAAGTGGTGCATGCCTATAGCCCTAGCTATCTGGGAGGCTGAGGCAGGAGAATTGCTTAAGCCCAGGAGTTCAAGGTTGCAGTGAACTATAATTACACCATTGTACTCTAGCCTAGACGACAGAGCAAGGCCCTGTCAAGAAAAAAGAGAGAAAGAAAGAAAAGAAAAGAAGAGAGAGAAAGAAACAAAGACACAAAGAATGAATGAATTGGGGTCACTTGCCCTAATCCCTTTGATTGCTTCCTGTTGCAATGAGAATAAAACTTGAACTCCTTATGAGGTCTTACAGCCCTTTGGGGTCTTCACTCTCCATGCCTTATGTACTCACCTCAGTTACTGCCTCTCTTTTCTTCTTCAGGCCTTCACAGAAAAATGACTGATTTTAGCTACGGAGGAAAAAAAAGGAAAAGAAAGACTGATTTATTTCCTTTGCTTACTCCTCCCCAGTCCCCAGATGGCAGCTTAAACAGTTTATCCCTTTTTGAAACAGGTTACACCTGTTGTCCTCCATATTACTGTGCATATGTGTATAATTACTGTACATATTTTTTCACTACAAATACTGTGTATATCCCTAAGATCCTTTATGTTTCACGAAGAGCCAGAGCCTATTTGTACATTCACTACTTTGTCCCTAAGACTTGGCTCAGGCCTGAAGATATATAATAGATACTCGATAAGTATTTGTTAAATAGATGAATATGTTAGGTTGTGTGCTGTCACAGGGGAAACAAAGATGAAATAGATACAGGTTACACATTAGAGAAATTGACCCTCTAGTAGGGGAGATATGATTGAAACATAGATAATTATAAGGCAAGACAATTAACATCACAGGAAACTCTGCAATTCCTGAGGAAGGGGCATTACTTCTAGCCAGGAAAATCCGAGGAAATTCTGTGGAGGGAGTTCACTGGGCATTTAATGGAGGGAAAGTACACACAAAGGCATCAATTTGAGAAAGTGTAGGGTGAATGTGGAAAAAGATGTGTGGATCAATTTAACTGGAGCACACAGTACACCAGTACAAAAGAGAGAGGCCAGGTGTGAGCATATATACTTACCACATAGATTTAACAATTAACATTTTGCCATATTTGCTTGATAGATAGGTAGGGAGGGCAGTAGACAGACAGATAGATGTGTGTGTATGCATTTCAAAGCCACCACTGGGTGGCTCACATCTGTAATCCCAGCACTTTCGAAGGCCAAGGCAGGCAGATCACCTGAGGTCAGGAGTTCGAGACCAGCCTGGCCAACATGGTGAAACCCTGTCTCTACTAAAAATATAAAAATTAGCTGGACATGCGGTGCATGCCCGTAATCCCAGCTACTCTGGAGGCTGAGGCAGGATAATCACTTGAGATAGTGCCACTGTACTCCAGCCTAGGTGACAGAGTGAGATTCTGTCTAAAAAAAAAAAAGAACTGGAAAGGAGAGGTGACATCAGATTGTCATGGGTCTCATTTGCCAGGCCAAGAATTCTGGTCTGTATTCTGGAGGCAGTGTTAGGTAACAACAGTAGGTCAAACTAGCCTTTCAAAACCTTTTTTAAAATTATTATTCCAAATATACAATAAAAGTAGAAATAATAGTAAACACCTATATACTTACCACATAGATTTAACAATTAACATTTTGCCATATTTGCTTGATAGGTAGGAAAGGAAGTAGACAGACAGATAGATGTGTGTGTATGCATTTCAAAGTATATATCTTTCTTTGTGTGTGTGTGTGTGTGTGTGTGTGTGTGTGAGAGAGAGAGAGAGAGAGAGAGAGAGAGAGAGAGAGAGACAGAGAGATAGGGCCTCACTCTGTCACCCAGGCTGGAGTGCACTGGCACAATCACAGCTCACTGTAGCCTCGACCTCCTGGGCTCAATCAATCCTCCCACCTCGGTCTCCCAAGTAGCTGGAACTACAGGAATAGGCCACCATGCCCAGCTAATGTTTTGTTTTGTTTTGCTTTTGTTTTTGGTAGAGACAGAGGTTTAACTATGTTGCCCAGACTGGTCTCTTATCTTTCTTTTTTGCTGAACCATTTCAAAGAGAGTTACAGATATCATAACTCTTCACTCCTACGTTTCTCCAAGTTGTAAAGATGTTTTCCCCCATATCCAGCATACCATTATTACAATGAACAAATGTAATAACTAACAACATCTAATACCATTTCAAATTTCCCCCAATTGTCTCAAAAATGTCTAAAAGGCTGCTTTTTCAGAACCAGAATCCAATTAAGCATTTGATTGTATCTTTTTACGTTTTTTTTCAAATTTAGAACAATCACCCATGACCATTTTTATGACATTGATTTTCCTTGATCTTCATGTCTTATCTTCTATAAAATAGTTGTTTGTAGAATGCTTCACGTTCTTGATTTATCTGATTATCTCCTTGGGGTTATGGTTCAACTGGTTCCTCCAGCCCCGGTAAACTGGAGTTTAGATCCAAAGCCTTGATAAGATTCACTTTCAGTATTTTTGGCAAGAAAACACCATTAAGTGATGCTGTATACTTCGTGCTGCAGCACACTGGGAACCTCATAAAAATGTTGGTTGTCCAAGGGTTACTGATACTAAATTGGATAACTGGGTTAAGGTGGGGACTGCCAGATCTCCCTGTTGTAAAAGTATGTTTCTCCTTTGTGATGGCAAGTAACCTGTGAGATGTGTTTGGCAACACAACTCACATGTTTGTAGCTATCTACAGTTGATCAAACACATTCAAACGCACTTAATCACAACAGCATCCCTGTGAGGTTTTATTCCTGTTTAATAGAAGTGGAAACTGAGACTTGGAGTGCTTAAATAACTTTCTCAAAGGCATAGACCCAGTAAGTAGCAAAAGCAGGACTCAAGCCTAAATAGATTAACTCTAGTTCGATTTAAAAAAAAATCCCAAATAACCTACATCTAACAGCAGATTTTATTTTGCTCTACACATTCAGGGAAATTCACTAGTAATGAGCTATAGAAATGATCCCTGATAGTAAAAATTGCAGATTTTTAAAGAGCATTCTCTCTCCAGAATTCAATAAATACTGCTCTTCTTTTGAAACCATTTTCTAAAAAAGGATACTTTAATTTATTGACACTGGGAAGCACATTGGCAAAGAAAGTCAATTTCTTTTACAGTATCTAATAGCTATTTCTATTGCCTGTTCAAACTAGCAAAATGTAACAGATGCTAGATTCCCCAAAGTACAGCGCTTTGGGCTACATTTGCAACAAGAGCTTACATCTAAATGTTACATTAGTTACTGAATTTGTAATCTTCACAAATGTGTGAATAGTGAGTTGATCAAAAATAACAATTTCCTGCTACAAGAGAAGGCATAGCAGAAAATGTTCCCAACACAAAGATAATGTTTGAGATGATGGATATCCCAATTACGCTGATTTGATAATTGTACATTGAATACGTGTATCAAAATACCAGATGTATCCCTGAAAATATGTACAACTATATCAGTTTAAACATACAAAAAATAATTTTCTGTCCAAAGTTAAATATGTACAACTACGATATATCAGTTTAAAGATACAAAAAAAGTAATGATTTTCTGTCCAAAGCATTACGTGGCACCTATGATGCTAAGACCAAGGGCCTTTAGGTCTGGAAGAGACACATAAAGTCAGGTCCTCGCGAATCTACTTCTGAAAGGGACAGAATTAGTATAGGCATACGACAGTCTAGAATCAAGACACAAGCGGTGTGGAGCGATAACGAGCAAACAGGGAAGGGAACTAGGGGGACCACTGATCCAGGAAGGGGCTGGAGAAGCTACTTCTGGGCAGCCCTGGAATCTGGGTGTCCAGCTTCGAGTTAGAAAGGCGTCCTTAAAGGGAGCCTCAGGCGGGGGCTGACTGCCGAGAGTTACTCTGTCCGCCAGGTTCTTCCTAACAAGAAGCTACAAAGGTCTTAATTCAGAAAACGTGAACACGACAACACACCCATGTCAAAAGAACGCTTTTAAGAGGCCGAGTCACTCTCACCTCCCACCAACTTCCCAAAGGCTGAAACAGGCGGACACGCCCCCAAGCGCTCTTCTCGGATTTCGTTGGTTGCCCCGGCCTGCCCCTCTCTTATTAAGTATCTCTCATTGGTCAGCAATGCCGCTTTCACAGCCAATTCTCAGAACCAATCATCTCCAACTGTTGCCTCGCCTCTCCACCACGTGAGTGGCATAGGTGCTAACCAATAAAAAAAGAAAATGACGATGTAAAGACAAGACTCCTTCCCTTTTTCCTCAACTCGTTCAGTAAATGGTAGAAAATGGGGAGCAGCTGATACCAACCACCAATCCATAAGGGCGGAAAAGGATGACGAGAAGAGTGATGGGAGGGGGTGACGTGGCAGTGACAGGAGCATAAACTGAAATGAGTGGCGGAAACACCAGCCAATCGGCGATCAGATTGGCCGGGCACCCCGCATTCTCCCGTCCTCCCTGAGCCCTGGAAACTTCAGGAAAGCACCAATGAACTTCTTCATATGTCTGATTGGCCTTTATCTGAACCAATCGACGGTGGGCCAGGAGGACGCGTCCCACCCCAAGCTCTCACTGGGCGCTGTAGAATGACAGGCCCGAGAGAAATGCCAATGTCCGCGGGGTCTTCCTCAAGTGACACTCAGCGGCACCAATCGACGTCCTTCTTCCCGGCGGTCGAGCCCTCCTCCCCGCGGCTCGCCTGGCGGGGCGGGGACGCTGCGCGGCGGTGGCTGATGCGGTAGCGTTGTGGGGCGCTCCGGGAGGCGACGGCGGCTCTCGTAGGCGGTTCCGGTCCTGTATCTCCAGGCGGCGGCGGCTCATGGCGGCGACGGAGCTGAGAGGAGTGGTGGGGCCAGGCCCGGCAGCCATTGCAGCACTTGGCGGCGGCGGCGCCGGTCCCCCAGTGGTGGGAGGAGGCGGCGGCCGCGGAGACGCGGGGCCAGGCTCCGGGGCCGCGTCAGGGACTGTGGTCGCGGCGGCGGCGGGAGGCCCGGGGGCCGGGGGAGTGGCGGCGGCTGGCCCGGCCCCTGCGCCGCCGACTGGGGGCTCGGGCGGCTCGGGCGCTGGGGGTTCGGGCTCGGCTCGAGAGGGCTGGCTCTTCAAATGGACCAATTATATCAAAGGCTACCAGCGGCGGTGGTTCGTGCTGAGCAACGGGCTCTTGAGCTACTACAGGTAACTGCTTCCGGGGCGCCGTCGCTCACCTTGCCTCTCCCATCGCTGCCGACAGTCCCAGCGCCGGCATTACCGCCAGCCGGCACCGCAGCCAGGGTTGCCCCAGGCCCCTTTTCGTCATCTGTGCGGATTGACAGCCCGGGGGTCGGACCCCACTGTCACGAAGTGAAAAGCCCCTGGACTTACACCTCACCTTCCCTCGGGTTACCCACCCTTGGTGCCTTATCTTCCCTTCACTCCCGGCCTTTCCAGTCAGCAATTGTTTGGAGAGCGTCTGTTCTTCCATTATATTTCCACCAGCACGTGGGTGCAATTATTAATTCTGCAAGCAAGGCACTGGTGTGGGTACTAAGGGAACACAGCAGAGCAAACCCGAGGCACTCCTCCCAAGGAACTTACATTGGAAGTCCTAAGTTTTAGCTGTCAGTGCCCAGTCTCCAAAACTCAAGGTTATTCGTAGCTCTTGATGTGCCCGTCCTTGCTTCCTTCACATTGAGACACAAGGGCATCACTCACACTGGGTGGCTTTGGTATTCCGTCCCCTTTCTGCCTTATCTCTCCAAGACTTTGCATACGCTTTTGCCTCTGGACAGCCCACAATGGAGATGTGCACCCCAGTGCTGCTTTTATTTTTGCTTGCCCCACTTCCTCCCGTGGAAATGATTAAGTGTTTTACCCAGTATTTCTGTGATTTTTTGGTTAGTTGGGATTAACATTTATTAAAAGAAGAATCCATGTCTTTGGTATGATTACTTCTGTTCAACAAGGTGTTTTGGACTGTTTAATATATATTTATGGTGACTTATAACTTGGCCATCGCCATCACATAGCATGCTTTGGGGCTAAAAAGGATAGAGGAGTTAAGATAGGTGATTTGGGGACAGGGCGTAGACATTTCCTGAGGGCTCACAAGGTGTCTAGGTGTCTTATATACAGTATTTCATTACAGTATTTTGTTGACCCCCAGCAACAACCCTAGGAGTTGGGAAATATTCCCATCTTACTGATTAGGGAAACAGACTTAGCATGGGCAACTTTCCCAAGGTTTTGGAGGAGTTGGGATTTGAAACTACTTCTGTTCACACTAATCTAACCTAAAACTCAGGTTAGTGTTAAATGAATCAGTCAGTTACAGAGATAATTGCTTATCAATAGCGAGTAATTTTATGGATCATGCTTACTATGTGTATTTTATGCAAAAAGTATAAAAATCTCCTTTAAGGGATATTTTGCTTAATGACATTCCAATGGAAATACTTTTTTCCAGAGACCATCCTCTTTGAGACTGAAAACACTGATGTTGAAGAGCAGTTCACTCTGTATTTCTTTTCCTTCACCAGGAATCATTCTGCCACCCGGAGAGTTAGGCTGAACAAGTCTCTTTTCCATTAACTCCACTGTAGTGGCTCTTAGAGAATTTTGAGGAGAAATTGAAGGTGGGAATTGGAGGTTGTTGGCAGGAACACATTCTTCTTACCTGTCCTCTTACACGGCAAAATGCGTTAGATAGCTCATCCTCACTGCTTCATCAACAGTTGTGAATAATTGTATATTTCATTTGCATTACTGTATTCAGAATTGATTTTAACTATAACCCTTTCTAACTATCCAGGACCATCCATTTAAACTTAGATTACAAATCTAAAATTTTAATTTCCCCAGATTTTTCTCTCATTCAAGTTCATGTTTTCCTGTTATTATTGACCATCATTTTAATGTTTAATTGCTTTATATCCTGACTTGGGTAGCAAGTCAATATTACTGTTTTTGCGTTTTCAAAAATTGTATATCACCCCAGGGCCTTCATGTGTGGTCATTTCTCATCCAAGTTCTTACCAGATCCACTTTCCAGGCCAGTGGATTCTTTGATCAGTACTTGTGTTGATCAGTAGTGATCTTAGACACTAATAACTTATATGTTGCTGTCTCTTTAAGTATTTGTTACCACTTTTCTCCCTTACAAGAGCTAGTGGTACCTGTCTGAGTACAGATACAACTCCTTCCCAAACACACCAAACCACATATTGGGAAATATGCCATAGGCCTGCCCTAGCCAACTTAGACGGTCCCAGCCATAAACAAACCAGCGGGATCCAGAGTTATCGATCTGTGCACTACCCTCAAAATTGCACTGAAATACTTCCTATCAAGTATACTGGCAGTTATTTTTTCCTGCAGGGTTCTTCTGGTCCTCATCTTCCTCCAAGAATTACCTAGACAAGTGTCATTCCTCCTGCTTTTCATACCTCCAAAACCTGCAGTTTCTTATATATACTGTTTCCAAAATACTGTTTTCCTTTTAAGTGGGATTGTGTACTTCCTAGATCCATCCTCGGATGAGCTGTCCTAATAGGCCTTGGCAAACCATTTCCTTCTTTTTACCTATCCTGGGCTTCCTTACGTACCCAGTTACTTAGATGTCTCATTATTTAAAACCTTATATGGAATCCCAGCTCTCCCAGAAACATCGTGACAGGCCATAGTATTAGTTTTCCTGGCTGGCTTCTAGAGATTGAATTACTATTTCAGCTAGCTTTTTCAGGGAAGAACTTTCTGGTCAGAAAATACCACCTAATATTGTAGTGCCTGAAGAACCTCTCTTGTACCCTGAGATTCGTGTCTTTCCAGCTTCCGCACTAATCATTTATAATCATAAGTGTATCTGCCCAAACGCAAGAGCTCCAAGATCAAGCCTGCCTTACTCCCAGAGTTCCTTGGTATTTTTTAAACTGCTACAGACTTTTTGTAATTTGAGAAACTTCTTTAGTTTACAATGATGACCCAGGCAGAAGAGATTCCTAAGAAGTGGTTTGTGAAAAGCTCCAATAAGGAGGAATGTGGAAGAAGGTCCAAGTAGTATCCTTGGAGTAGAGAACATAGCAAGCTGGCCTGTCAGCTGTGCATCTGTAATTCAGCCTGCATTATTCATAATGTAACTGAAGCTTGGGGGTGGGGAGGTAAGAATAGAAAAAACGGATTCATGTTACAGTGTAGCAGGTGCAGAAGATGGAAAATGGCCCAGTCCATTGAGACCCCTCTGGCCTTCCCATACTACTCATGTGTGCATTTGAGGAAGGAAGAACAGTTCATGTGAGAAATTGAACAACAACAAACCTATCTTCCAGACTTTCTCAGACATACCAGATCTTATGGGGTGCGTGCCATTTCTGGCATGCAGGAATTCTGGATATGCCAGGTGTGTTTGGCTGCTTAACTCCACTAAAAGGGAAATGGCTCTGTTTTGTACTGTGGCAGCTGGCAAAGGACTTTGACCTCTGTATTCCAATTTGTACAGGGAAAACTGCAGTCTCAACATGCAGGTTCCTGGGCATAACCAGCGGGTGGTAGGGAAATGACAGCGTTTGTGTTAGACACTCGATTGTGCTAGAAGCTTGATATTTTATGTGAAGCTTGGTGTTTTATGTGAAGTGTCTTATAGCTTATTGTCACCAAGTAATGCTGTAAAGTTCAAAAGTTAGTCTATTAATAGAACTGTCAGTCAGTAGAGATCGGGAAAATTTTTACACCCAGGCCTCTGAGAGCAGATCTGCTGAATCTTTCCTAGCTATTAATAGACGGCTTAGGAGTTCCCACCAGTAGAGTATGGTGGACCTTAGGAATGAACATTTTCCAGAAAGATTAAAACACTTGGTGATTCCTTTTTACTTCCCCAGAAAGCTAGTTAATCTTATTTCATATCATTTGAACCATAGCCAATATTTCATACTCTAAACATTTAAGTGTGCTTTTTTACACTTCTGCAATATAATTCTAAGCATGGTGTAACAATTCTCATTTGGGCTGAGTTACAGTCAGGAGCGAGATGGTTTGGTATATATAAAATGGAGCTATTCTTAGGAAATGAGACTATTGCATGAGGTTATAGGGCAATTTATAATTATAACTTGCTAAGTGAAAGATAATTCCTGACTGCAAAAGGGCATGAGGGAACTTATTGAGACGATAGAAATGTTCTACATCTTGATTGTGGTGGTGGTTACGCAATTGTTTACATTTGTCAAAACTCATTCAGTTGTACCTTTAAAATTGCTAAATTAACATTGCATGTAGTTATACCTCAGTAAAGCCTCTTTCTTTCCGTCTTTCTTTCTTTCTTCCTTTCTTTTTTTGAGACGGAGTTTCGCTCTTGTTGCCCAAGCTGGAGTGCAATGGTGCGATCTCAGCTCACTG